ATACAAAAATTAGCCAGGCATCGTGGAGGGTGCCTATAATCCCAGCAAATCAGGAGGCTGAGGAAGGAGAACTGCTTAAACCTGGGAGGCAGAAGTTGCAGTGAGCCGAGATCCGCCGCTGCACTCCAGCCTGGGTGACAGAGGGAGACCCTGTCTCAAAAAAATAAACGAATGAATGGGTGGGTGATCACAGGAGAGGAGGATCACAAGGCCAGGTTGTTTTTGGGCAGAAAGTATGATTCCTTCATCAGAGTGTCCTCTTCCTAGCTTGTGATCTTGGTTCATGCCAGACTTTCCCTCTGACCCCTCCACCACCCTCATCAGCATAGACCTTGAGGCCTTCAGTGGTCTCATCAGCCCTATTTTTAAATTTTGTTTTCTTTCTAAATTTGTTAAATTTGTTTTCTTTCCAAAAGTTAATGTGTCCTTTTTTTTTTTTTTTGAGACAGGGTCTCACTCCTGTCACCCAGGCTGGAGTGCAGTGGCGTGATCACAGCTCACTGTGGCCTCGACTTCCCAGGCTCAAGTGATTCTCCCACCTCAGCCTCCCAAGTAGCTGGGACTACAGTTTTCCAAGCAGCTGGTACATGCCGCCACATCCAGCCAATTTTTTGTACATATGTACACATTTTTTTTTCTTTTTTTTGTAGAGATGGGGGTCTCACTATGTGGCCCATTCTGGTCTCAAACTGCAGGGTTCAAGCGATCCACCCGCCTCGGCTTCCCAAAGTGCTGGGATTACAGGCATGAGCCATTGCACTCGGCCTTCAGTATCTGCACATAAAAAGGGATCTGTATACATATAATCTTATCCTTCCCCTTTCTGACACCATCACTGCATATTCAATACACCAGTGTGCACCCTAATTTTCATTACCAGTTCACTTGGAAGCGTTTCGGGCAGCGTTGCAGAAGCCAACCCTGGTCAGCATGACCCTCTGCTTTGGGATGAAATTGATTCTTGGTAGAGTTGACATAGGGTTGAGCGTGGCCGCCTTTCCCCTTGTCCTCTGTGCCCTCTGGGTCACGCTCATTCCCCTCCACTGCCCAGCCCAACAACTTGGAGGCAGGAGAGAAGGCAGCCCCCAGAGCTGCCCTAGACTCCCGCCCGTCTCATCTCTCCCCACAGGCAGTTTCTAAACCGGGATGACATTGGCATCATCCTCATCAACCAGTACATCGCAGAGATGGTGCGGCATGCCCTGGACGCCCACCAGCACTCCATCCCTGCTGTCCTGGAGATCCCCTCCAAGGAGCACCCATATGACGCCGCCAAGGACTCCATTCTGCGCAGGGCCAGGGGCATGTTCACTGCTGAAGACCTGCGCTAGGGGACTCCTCACAGCCCTCAGCCCTTCCCTCGTTTCCAGGCCTCTCCCCAGGCTTGCCATCAGCCTTCTTTACTTTTTGAGCCTCTGATTTCCAATTCCCTGCCCATTCCCACTCCATTAAGAGGCTAAGTGAGGCACTTCTAGGTTGCTGGGGCTCTGCTGTTAAAGCTGGTTAAGGAACAGGAAGCCTGACCATCTCCCTCCACTACCTGTTCCCTGTGCTGTTACACAGTGTCATTGTTGATGTTAAATTAAAGTCATATTCTTGCTTCTCTCCAAACGGGCTGGGTGCTGGAAAGTACATGTGTGGGGTGAGGCCATGGGGCAGATTCAACTGGCAAGGATGGAAAAAGGTGCTGCCAAAGACAGGCATAGAAGAGCTGGCCCAGGAGGATCGTGCTGGGAGGCAGAACTCAAGGACTGGTCCTTGGATCAGAGAAGACCAGCTCTGGTCTGGGAAGGATTGGGAGGAAGCTTGAGCCCAGCCCCCACCTCGGGGGGGGACACCTTGCTCAGCATTGGGCTGGGAAGGGGGCCAGACCCAAAGGACAGACGCAGAAAGCACACAAAACCTGGGAGCCTCTGATGCCAGATCCCGCGTGGGCCCTGCGGGAGGTTTGGGGAGCAGGGCTCTTAGCCAGTGGGCCCTGGCCCCAGGCTGCCTCAGGAAGCCGGGTTCATGGGGTCTACTGGGGGCACAGCAAGTAGAACCCTGGCCCTGTGTGAGGTGAGGCATGGTTGCTAGGTGACTGCCAGGGCAGCCACTCGCCATCAGAAGCACTCTGCTTGCTGTGCTCACCCCTCAGCTGCAGCCACCCTGGTGCCACTCCTTCCCTGGCTACCATGTCACGGCAGCTCAACATAGACACGTTACGGCAGAACTTCTGGAAGGAGGAATATCTGAGGGAAAAGATGTTGCGCTGTGAATGGTACCGCAAGTATGGGTCGATGGTGAAGGCCAAGCAGAAGGCTAAGGCTGCAGCCCGCCTGCCCCTCAAACTGCCCACCTTGTACCCCAAAGCCCCACTCTCACCCCCACCTGCCCCCAAGTCAGCCCCTTCCAAGGCGCCCAGCCCTGTCCCAGAGGCTCCTTTTCAGTCAGAAATGTACCCAGTACCACCTGTCACCCGAGCCCTGCTGTATGAAGGCATCTCCCACGACTTCCAGGGGCGCTACCGCTACCTCAACACTCGAAAACTGGACATGCCAGAGACGCGATACCTCTTCCCCGTCACCACCAGCTTCACATACGGCTGGCAGCTGGGTGAGCCCAACCTCTTGGAAATCACCTCAAAGACAGAGCACCTGCCATGTCCTAGGGAGTGGGCATCCTAGTGAAGGGTCCAGACCATAAACAGAGCAAGGAGATGACCAAGAAGTGTCAACATGTGCCACAGAACTAGGGAGTGGTGGTGGGCAGGGAGGCAGCGGCCATGTGCTGCTATTTACTGGATTTTCAGGAAAGGCCTTTCTGAGGACCTGAGGCCAACAGCCAGATGATAAGGATGGGTTTGGATTTTATTTGGTGTGCAGGGAAGCTGATGGAGGGTTCTAAGCAGGTTTCAAGAGTGACACTGATGAACCTTTTAAAAAGTCACCCTGGGCCGGGCGCGGTGGCTCACGCCTGTAATCCCAACACTTTGGGAGGCTGAGGCAGGCAGATCACGAGGTCAGGAGATCGAGACCATCCTGGCTAACATGGTGAAACCCCATCTCTACTAAAAATACAAAAAATTAGCTGGGCGTGGTGGCGGTTGCCTGTAATCCCAGCTACTCAGGAGGCTGAGGCAGAGGAATGGTGTGAACCCGGGAGGCGGAGCTTGCAGTGAACCGAGATCTTGCCACTGCACTCCAGCCTAGGTGACAGAGCAAGACTCTGTCTCAAAAAAAAAAAAGTCACTCTGACCTGTATGTAGGCAGTGGCTTTTTCAGGGGAAATGGTAGAATCTGGCACGTGAGTTGGGCATCTATTTTGTTACCCTGTGGTAGTGGCCTGAGGAATCAGCAATAGAGCTGAAATCAATTCAGGATGTTTTGGGGGAAGACTCAGTGGAACTCACCCATGGATAGAATGTGAGAATAAGGGGAAGAGAGAACAATCGCCCAGGTGTTCAGCTAAAGCCGCAGTGACAGGGAAGACTGGGAGAAGTCAGGGCTGGAGTGTGCATGAACAGGTCCTATTTAGTCATGTGTGTTTGGCTATGTTATGCTTGAAGTGTCTGTAGGGTGACTGTGTCTATAAGTCTGGATTGAAGTCAGAGCTGAAGATGCAAATTCGGAGGTCATTTGAATATAGGTGCTTTTTTTTTTTTTCTTTTTGAAGCAGAGTCTCACTCTGTCACCCAGGCTGGAGTGCAGTGGCATGATCTCGGCTCACTGCAACCTCTGCCTCCCAGGTTCAAGAGATTCTTCTGCCTCACCCTCCCGAGTAGCTGGGACTACAGGCACATGTCACCATGCCTGGCTAATTTTTGTATTTTTAGTAGAGACAGGGTTTCACCATATTGGCCAGGCTGTTCTCCAACTGCTGACCTCGTAATCTGCCCACCTCGGCCTGCCAAAGTGCTGGGATTACAGGTGTGAGCCACTGCCCGGCCTATAGGTGCTATTTAAATCTGTGAGATCACCTAGGGAGCTCAAGTTGCTGGAATCTGATGGGAGTGGGGGCAGAAGGGCTGAGCCAGAGGCGGGTAGGCAATGGCACTGGCAGGAAGGCTGTCCATCTGGGCTGAGTCTTTTATCTGTGAGGTTGAGTCAAGGCCATCAGTGGGGAGGGAGCCGAGCTCAGGCTGTGGAGTAGCAGAGATGAAGAGGAAAGGTGTGGAACAGGCGTGTGCCAGAGAGGGCTGCTGGGCGATGTTGCTGCACATCCCATTGCTGTCCGTGCTCATGAATGTCAAGTGAGACTCCTCGGTCCTGTGTCCTTCTCCAGCTGCTTGAGTGTCTTGCAGAAAAGGTGGATGGTTGGCGATTGACTCAGTTGAGATTTTGCCCCCAAACATCCCTTTCCCCCAGGCCCCTAAAGGGAAAGTCAGGGAAATAACTTTCTAACAAAAGCAGGAGGCAAGCCCTAGAAGGGGGGAGCAGGAGACAGAAGGAAGTCCCATCTCTTCACAGTCTGTCCCTGTGACAAGCAGGCTAGGGTGGCCCCCCTCCTGGCAGGTAGAGGATCCTGAAGCTGGGGTAATGTTGGCAGATGGCTGCTGTATGTATCCTGGCCTCCAGCCAGCTCCCAGTATTTGCAGGTAGCTCCCATGCCTCCAAAGCATTTTCCGTTTCTTCCCACAAAGTGGCTACTCCACTGACGGATTCCTAGGGCTGTGCAGACAGACAGGGCTCCCATGCTCTGTGTGTCCTTCCCTCAGGAACCCATGCTTGGCCTCTAACATCTTTTCCCAGGACCCCCAGTGAAGCAAGAACTGGTTTCCTGCAAGATGTGCCGCATTGAGTCATTCTTCCGCAAGAACGGGGCCTTCGCACTGCTTGATCCCCGAGACCTGGCCCTCTGACGGTGGGCCAGGTGTGGGCTTAGGGGAGGGAAGAAGAAATAACAGGCCTCCTGGTGGGGCAAAGCTGTTGTGTGTGTCTGTGCCCCTCTGCGCTCCCTGGCCCTGAGGCTGCATTCAGGTCTTTCTGAAACTATCTGACCTGCAAAAGTTGCCCTCTTGCTTTTTCCGTAACCCTCATCTCTTTAATCATTCCTTTGAGTACCCAGCAATGACCAGAGGGGGCTGGGAAGGGCGAGCACTACTCTGCAGGCACGGGATCCGCAGCACCAGGGGAACACAGTAGTTCCAGGAAGTTCTGAGTGTTCCTGCGGAGACAGCGGCCTGTCATCTCGGAGGCCAGGGAAAGGGGACTCCTGCCACCGCCACGCCCGTCCTTGCCCGCCCCTCACCTGGCCCCGAGGGCCCGCAGCCGCCCGGTCCTCTCCCGATGCATCTGTTCCAGCTGCTCCCTCAGGGCGCGCCGCCGCCCAGTCGCGTCCTCCTGGCGGTGCAGATCACTGAGCGTCCGCGGCTCAGTGGGGCGGGCGGGGCAGCACCTGGCACACCCGCCCCTCGCGCCCCGTCCGAGTCACTGCCAGAGTGCAGTGCGCTCACTTCAAAGGGACCCGGGCGCACCAAGCTCGGCCCCTGCCCCGTGCAGGTTCCTTGTGGCCCCACCGCCTTCTGGGGGTCTTGCCTGTGGCGGGAGTTGAGCCGGGCTGGGCAGGAGCCCCACGGGGTGAACCCGGCAGTGGCGATTCCTGGCGATGTGGAGGCGTTCCAGGACCTGCAGAGGGGCAGTCAGCGTCCGACCGCCCCTCGGTGCCCCGCCCGCCCCAGGCAGGCCCCAATCCCGGCGTGGGGACGCACCCGGAGCCGCTGCTGCTCACGGTCCCGCCGGCGCCGCCACCTGGCTGCGCTGTGCAGCTCCAGTAGCCGCTGCAGAGCCGTCTCCTGCTGCGCCGCGCTCAAGCCCGCAGGCGCCTTGGCCCTGCCTAGGGGCGCCGGCCACGCGGCCTTCGAGGCCTTGGGACGCTCAGGACCGCCCCCCCGACCTCGGAGGGCACCCAGAAGCCGAGCCTGGCCCACCTCCTGCTCTCCCGGGCCGGGGCCCACTCCAGGGCCCTGCAGCCCGTGCGGATTGTGCTCCGGGTCTGGAGGGCCCCGGAGACCCCCGGGGAGCCCCTGCTGCCCGGATACCTTGGCGCGCAGCGTCGCTGGCATCACAGCTCCGGCTCCGCGACTTGGAAGCAGCTGCTGGGCCGGGGGCTTCGGGCTGGGAAGCGCAGCCCACGCCCCCTCCTGGGCGACCCCCAGCTTTGCCACCGCCGGTGCCGACTTTTGTGTCTCGCCTCTGATCCTGCTCTGCATCATCGCGGTAGCCCTTCTCCGGAGGTCTGGGCTCTCCCTGCCCACAGGCTTTGGAGTCTGTGCTTTCAGGGACCCGCAGGAGTCCCTCCGATGGCTCCGGGAGCCACCTTCCTCTGGGAGCTGTACAGTGGCCTCCCCGGGAGCCACCTCCCAGGCTTGTGAGATACTGTCTTCCCAAGACCACAGCATCTTCTTCCCCAGACTCTGGGGACTCGCCTTTCCCCCACACTTAGGACTAAATTCTCTTCGACTCTGAGGAATGCCCATGTTCTCACCCAGGGGGGCCTCCTCCCTCTGACCCTGAGGAGCCCTTGGGCTCTGGCCCCTCTGTGTCTTCACCTTCTGACGCTGAGGAGCATCTTTGATCTCACCCCGGGAGGCCTCCCCTCTCTTATGCTGAGGGGTCTCTGCTTTCTGATCCTGAGGGTCCTCCTCTCTCAGACTCTGAGGGGTGTCCATCCTTGGCGGTCTTTGAAGTTCTGCTCTCTCCTGGCCCAGGTGCGGGTCCCAGCCCAGTCCTTCAAGGGCATCTTGGGAAGGCAGGTTTTGGGATGGCAGGTCCCCCGGCCCAGGGGTCCCTGGAGTGAGCTGTCTTTCCTGGGTCTCAGGTTCTGCCTCACTCCTCTCTTCCCTCTGGGCCAGGTCCTGGAAAGGAAGAGCACTTTGGGCCCAGGCTTGAGAGGGAACCTGTAGACCCGACCCCAGGGGCCAGTCCTTGCCTGATTCCTGAATTTGTTAAAGCCATTTAATGTAGTGCTTCACTGAAAAGCCTCCCCCTCACCGCAGCAGCCTCCTCCCGTGCAGACCCACCCCTGCCATCCCCAACCTGAGACGCTTGACCATTTCACCTTGTACTCTGAGCTGCCTGGCACCCCAAAGCTCCTCCTGGTAGTGGGGTTCAGCTCTTGTAAGGAGCCTGAGGAAGAAAGACCAGTGTTGGGAGCTCATGTCCCCTCATTCACAGTCCACCTAGACTAGAGCCAGGAAACTTAGGGAGTCCCAGCACATGGCTAGGGGTGCCCTGAGGGCGCTGTCTGAACCTCAGGCTGTCACAGTTCATCAGCCAGCCACGCACTTATTTGTCATGTGTGCCTGCCAGCAGCCCACCCCATCTTTCTCATCCTCCCAGCCAAGGCAAACCACACCAGAGGGACCTGCACAGCCTCCTCCTCAAGACTGCCACGGGAGGCCTGGGAGTGAGAAGGATCACGGTGCCGGGCGCCTGGGTCCCTCAGCACCGGCTACTCCCACTTTGTCCTGGTGTGCCCATCAGGCCCAGAGAAGAAACCCGCTCTGGGCATCTTACTTTTTACTCTTACTTAGAAGAAACCTCCCTTAGCCTTTTCTTTGTTTCTGACAGCAAAATCAAAGGAAATTCAAGATGAAATTTTAGGCCAGAGGCTGGCCTAAAAACTGCAAGTGTTCATAATTAACAAAAGAAATCTAAAAAAAGAGATGATGTGTTGCCACTCCCCTGCAGCTGTGGAAGAAGGAGAGCTGTTCTGCATCCATAAAACTGGTTAAAAGGGATTTCATAAGGTCTGAAATTGAGAACTTTCCCAAGAATACTGCATCTTGTTCTCTTGTGCAATATCAGACATGTGAATATTCATAACAGTAACCAAATGGGTGCACGCTCTGTGAAAACACATCTTTCAAAGAGTTGTTTGAACAAAGGAGTCTTATAAGACTCCTGGGCCTTTAGAAATAATTGCCACAAACTGCAAAAACAACCTCCAACCTCCCACCTCTAATTCTCATCAGTTGTCTTACTAGAAAATTTATTTCTCTGGTAATGTTATAATTGATATCCCTGTCTTCTCAAGACGTAAAATACTTGTAAAAACTTCTCTGTCAATCAGAAAATAATTATTGGCAGTTTTCTTCTCTCTCATGTGCATGGTGGAACAATAAAAAGCTTGTGGCTTTGCTACATCTATTATTTAACAATTTGAGAGTCTGTTTCATTTAAATTATTAGGCTCAAGGCTCATAGTATCCATTCCACTGCCTGTTTATTGTCATGCTGTTTCTAGTCTGTGATCTAAAGACAGGCACCCAGTCTCCTTGATCTCTGTATATCTCCAGTGCCTGGCTGAAGGGTGGCAAAAAGGTGGCCTGTGCCTGGCTGAAGGGTGGTAAGTAGGCGGCCTGGAGTTGGTATTGTGTTCCCTCGTCCCTGGGCAGCCAGTGATGCTCATTCCTGAACTTTCTCCCCTGAACCCCAGTTTAGCATCAGAATCCTACTGGACGCACTGCCTGAGACAGCTGGTACCAACCAGGTGGAATTGGCACATCAAATAAAACCTACTTGCCATCGCTGGGTGTCCTGGCACTCCATCAGGAAGTGTGAGATGAAGAATGAGTGAAGAATGAAGTCCTGGGACTTGGGGAGAAGACTTTCCTGCCTCATCCCAATCCAGTCTGGCTGCCCCTGCCCTCCCAGCTGTCTGACAACGTACCGCGTGTGGGCTCTGCATGTCCTCCAGGGCTCTCCCACCCTTGGCCTGCACCACTCCCGGCTTCACCCAGATCTGGGGCCGATGATGGGTCTCCTGCCTGCCCCCTGCAGGAGTTCAAGGGCTGCCTCTGATGCACCTCTCTGGGCCCATGGGCTCTGGAATGGGAGGGAGTCTGCCTGCCAGTCTCCAGAGACCCCACCCCAGCATACAAACACTTGAGTCCCAGGTGGCCGCCCCCAGTGCCCTCCCTCCTCCCCCATCACCAGATCCTGGGAGCTGGAATTTGGAGATTAACCTTTCCAGGGGCCGTGGGGCAACCACGGGTGCAACTAAGAGCCCAGGAGGCATAACGAAGGGCACTGGCAGGACTGCAGAAGGTGACAGAGAAAGAGCCCAGTTCACAGAGGGAAAGGCAGGATTCCCCAGGGAGACTCACCCTTCCAGGAGCTGATGGTTCTGCCTCAGGGAGTCCCTGTCCTGGGGTAGAGGGTGCAGCCTAGAATTCTGGAAGGGTTGGGGGCAACCTAGTCCACATGGCTCCATCCCCCAGTGTGGCAGCCAGCCTTTAAGATGGCCCCTAAATGATCCCTGACTCCTGGAATTCATACCCTCTGTGCCCGCCACTTCCCCTCCACGCAAAGGAGCTTAGAAACGGATCCCTCCTCCCATTTGAGTCTCAGATGAGACCACAGTTCTTGCCAGCAACGTCCGCTGAACCCTTCCTAAGTTGCACCACGAACACCCGCTCCTGCTACAGCGGAGGGTGCCTTGGCCCAGAGAGGGTTACTAACCTGCCCAAAGTGACTCAGACAGCTGCTGGCTGAGCCAGGACTGGGACCCACATTCCCAGTTCCCCACTCTGTTCTGGGCCCAGTCACCACAGCATCCCCTCCTGGAGTCTCAGCCCAGCTGCAGCCCTGGAGGGAGAGGTCAGCGCCTGTGTCTCAGCGGCACACTTCATTGCCTTTGCTCTCTGGGGCCCTGCCAGGCTGCTTTCCTCCCACTCGGCGGTCACATGGAAAGGCTTCCAGGTATCACCACACAGGTGATTTGACCAAGACAGTCATTAACTGTGGAATGAGAATAACGGCCTGCCTGGAAGAGCAGGCCCTGTGTGCCAGGCGTAGTCCACTGTTCCTCCTGACAGCCCTTGGAGAAAGATCTCTTCTTGTGGGTGTTTTCTTTCTTTCTTTCTTTCTTTTTTTTTTTTTTTGGCGGGGGAGTTGGGGGTAAACGGAGTTTGGCTCTTGTTGCCCAGACTGGAGTGCAATGGTGCAATCTCAGCTCACTGCAACCTTCACCTCCCAGGTTCAAGCGATTCTCCTGCCTCAGCCTCCCAAGTAGCTGGGATTATAGGTACAGGCATGTGCCATCATGCCCGGCTAATTTTTGTATTTTCAGTAAAGATGGGTTTTCTCCATGTTGGTCAGACTGGTCTCAAACTCCCAACTTCAGGTGATCCACCCACCTCAGCCTCCCAAAGTGCTGGGATTACAGACGTGAGCCAGCGTGCCCGGCCTCATGGGCATTTTCTAGCTGAGGAAAGGTAGACTTAGAGCCTACAGGGGGTTCAGCATGGAGATTCGAACCCAGCCCTGTCTCCAAAACCGTGCCCCTTCTACTTGCCCTCACCACAGCAGGGCCCCAGTGTCCCCAGAACCTCTGTCCCCGCCGTGCCCCCTCACCCACTCACCAGCTGCTCGGGGTCTCCACCCATGCTACCACCTGGCTGACAGTGCTGGCTCCATGCATGCTGGGCCTGGCCCCTCGGACCGAAAAACTGGGCCTGGGGTGGCCAGAAGAGGCCCAGCTCCACACCCGTCAGCAGCTCCAAGTCCCACAGGAGCTGCAGGAAGATGGGGTGCCAAGGCGTGAGGGGGCACCCATCCTGGCCTCAGCCACATCCCCGGCCAGCCCCTACCTGCTCCTGGGCCCACCGGCTCAGCTCCATCTGCAGCAGCACAAGGGGCAGCTCCAGCCCCGGGGGACACCCGCAGCCCTCTTGCACCTGGAGGGGCAAGGCGACGTCAGGCCCCCGGCTGTCTCCTTCCTTCTAAGGCAGTGCCCCTCCCTCACCTGCCAAAGTGCAGCCTGGAGCTGGCCTGGGCCTGCGGGGCACTGGAAGAGATACTGGTACAAAGCCAAGGCCTGCCTGGGGCTACAGGGGAGCCCTGAGCCCCCCGGAGTGGCTGCTTGCGCCATGCAAAGCCTGGAGGGAAACGGAGGACAGGCAACCAAGAGCCAGGAGCAAGGAGGGACAAAGGCTCTGAACTCAATAATGCAGGGCTTGACATCTAAGCCCCGGCTAGACCGCAGCCAAGCCTCATAGACTCTGGCCTGCCTCAGAGACGGCTTTTGTGGCCCTAGGGGTGGCAGCATGGAGTGAGCAGTGTGACCCTGAGAGAGGGAGGTGTACGCATATGCTTGTTTACAGCCCCCAGCGAGCATTTGTTTGACATATACTGTACACGCGTACATCTGAACATCAGCCTCACAGCTGCATTATTTGGGCGCACAATATGCCCAATATGGGTAGCAATAGCAGCTGCTACCAAAGTTGTGGATCTTGTGCATCCCACAAGATCCACAGCTTGTGCCAGGATGAAGACGCTTCATACATATAATCCTTTCTTGCAGCAACTCTATGAAGTAAGCTCTATTATTATCCCTAATTTATAGGTAAGAAGACTGACTCAGAAAGCAACTTCTCCTAGGCCAAGTGTGGTGGTTCACATCTGCAGTTCCACCACTTTAGGAGGATGAAGTGGGAGGATGGCTTGAGCCCAGGAATTTGAGACCAGCCTGGATGACATAGCAAGACCCCATCTCAAAAAAAAAAAAAAAAAAAAAAAAAAAGTTAGCCAGGCGTGGTAGCATGCGCCTGTAGTGACAGCTACATGGGAGGCTGAGATGGGAGGATTGATTGAGCCTGGGAGGTCAGGGCTGCAGTGAGCTGTGATCGTGCCACTGTATTCCAGCCTGAGTGACAGAGCAAGACCCTGTCTCTTTAGGAAAAAAAAAAAAAAAAAAAAGAATAGCTTGTCTTAACATGCAGCAGCATTTTTTTCATCTGGAGATGGATGGACGTGATACCCTCTGGGAAGACGTGGTCCTGGGAGCCCAGGCCATCCATCAGCAAGAGGCGAGTGGTAAGAGGCCCTGCCCCGGCAAGCACTGCCCACATGCTTGTCCATGCTGTCCCCCTAGTAAGTGCTGTCCATGGGTCACTGTTCATTCCCTGATGCTTGTTATTATCATCCTCACCTCACAGATGAATAGACAGGTCGTATAAGTTATCTAATCAGAAGTGGGGCTGAGTGCAGGAGCTCTGCCATCTTTACATCCTGCCCTGTTGTGAGCAGATTTGCCTGCTGGCTACTTTGTCCCCATTCCATGAGAGAACGGAGCAGACCCTCCTCTTGGCCGGAAGAGAGAACAGCCTCAATGAAAGAGCAAGCAGGCTGAGTGGCCTCTAATTCAACCCGGCACTCTCCTGCATCCCAGCCTGAGCACAAAGCCCTTCACTCCCTGTTGGAATATCAGGGAGCAATGAGGATGGAGTCCCCTGACCTCATGACCAAGGTCCCTAAAACACCAAGGTCACAGAGTAGGCGGCAAAGAAAACTTGAATTCTGGACTTTTTCTATCTCAAAACCCATGTTCCCTCCCTACAGTGACGTCTTCACATGCTGCCAGTGTCTACTGCCCACACATCTGCCCGGGTTGGGTGTGGTTGTGAAGGCAGGCAGGTATGCATTGCATGTGTTTATCTGGGCTTCTGAGGGTTGTATGTTTCTGTGTGTGTTTCTGTGTTTCTGTGTGCATACGCAGGCACATGTCCATATTGCATTGTGGTCTGTTGCTTCTCCTGTTTCTCACCCCAGGCATTGGGTCCCTGTGTCACTAGCTCTCGGAGTGGCCCAGAAGGTGCCTGCACACTCAGTATCCCCCAGCCACAAGGAAGGGAGGCCATTCTCTGATGCAGCCCCTTCTCCATGGTTCCTCAGCCCCTGCAGGATCCCACATGGATCCACAGAAGGTACCACACGGGGCCATGCATCATGCCTGCTACACAGAATGAGCACAGGGCTAAGACCAAGGCACCAGGGTCCTCCTTCTACCACTGCAGGGTTTCCCAGACAGCACCAGGGAGTGGCTGGGTGGGGCAGCCCAGGCATGCAGGTGCAAGGAGGGTGCATGGTGCTGTGATTCTGGGGCCATTGATCACTAGACCCCATGTTCCTGGCAGCCCAGCCTCTGTCCCAGCACCAGGAGGAAATACACACACACACAAGGAAGCCTTCGGGCAGGCCTAGAGTTTACTGCTTGTGACTCAACACGGCAGGGGTCTTTGCAGGGCAGGGGCCTAGGCTCCACTGTCCAGGCAGGGCATTCTCTCCACAGCCCTGACCAGGATGGGAACTGCTTGCCAAGGGGAGACTCCTGGCCTGATGAACCCTGGTCAGGCACTGTCCTGGCTCAGGGTGTCTCCTGGGGCTCCCGGCTGGGGCTGGGCCGAGCACCAAGTGGCTGGTCTCCAGTGAGCAGGACTTGGGGACAGGCCTCGGGTGGGATGCAGTGGGCCTCGTGCTCCACCAGGCCTGCAGGGCACTGGCAGCCGGGCATGCAGGGCCTCACGCAGTGGGCTGCCAGCTCCCCCAGGGGGATATGCTGATTGAAGCAGGTGCGGGGACAGGGCGGGCCGCACTCATCGAACACGAAGCCATGCTCCAGGGGGCAGCCTACCACTGCGGGGGGTGGGGGGAGTGGGAGGCGGGGTTACCAAGGCACCTGAAACTGCCCCAGTAGCTGTGCGTACCACTGCGAGACTCATCACACCCACCGTGGACCCGCCCTGAGCCCTCCGGGCTAACCTTCTTCTCTGTGCTGACCCTCCCCCAGCCTGCAGCGGGCATCACCCCCTCACCACATAGCGTGGGGCCTCGCCAGGTAGGTGTCACTCCTGCCTGGCGACAGTGACTGGCATAGGCTTCCAGGGCGTCACAGAGGCAGGCATCAGCGGAGGAGCCAGGGCCACAGGCACACAGGTCATACACACAGGCGGCAAAGAAGGGCTCCGGTGGCACCACAGCATGGCAGTGACTGAATGGGGAGGACTTCAGCACCCCACACCGGGCATTGGCCTCACGCCTGGCACGGTAACCTGCTGCCCGGCACGGATCCATCTCTCGGCCTGCAGAACAGGGCCGGCCAGGCTCCAGCCCCTCTGGGACCTGGGTGGGGAGAGCAGCCCTGATGTGACAGCACCACTGGCAGCTGGCCTCTGCATGCCATGCTCTTCAAAGCACTTCCCACCCAGTCATTTGCTTTAGTTCCCAAAACCTCCCTAAAAGAATGCAAAGGAAGTACTGTCTACCTTCTTTTTGTCCCCATTTTACAGATGGACAGACCAAGGCCAGAGTAGATCAGCACTTGTCCAAGGTCACACAGCCAGTGAGTGGCAAAGCAAGGCTTGGGGGTTCAGGTGACGAGACCTCTTTTTTTTTTTTTTGAGACAGAGTTTTGCTCCTGTTGCCCAGGCTGGAGTACAGTGGTGCGATCTCGGCTCACTGCAACCTCTGCCTCCTGGGTTCAAGCGATTCTCCTGCCTCAGCCTCCTGAGTAGCTGGGATTACAGGCATATGCACCACCAGGCCCACTTAATTTTGTATTTTTAGTAGAGATGGGGTTTCTCCACATTGGTCAGGCTGGTCTCAAACTCCCGACCTCAGGTGATCCACCCACCTCAGCCTCCCAAAGTGCTGGGATTACAGGCATGAGCCACGCGCCTGGCCAACGAGGCCTTAACAAGCCACCCTACCTCTCCAGCACCAAGACAGTCAAGAAGCCTACACACCTCCCTGAAAGCCCAAAAGCCTATCTTGTGTGACTTCACCCCCTTTCCCCGCTTTCCATGCCAGAGGGTTGCTCTGAGACTCATGCTCAGCTGCGTCTTCCCTAACCCCCATCCCCGGTTCCTGTGCCACTCACCTGCCAGCTATTCCCAAACGCAGCCTCCGTGGGCAGGAGCAGCCCCTCAGGGCCCTGCAGATCATCCTGGGCAAAGCCGTTGAAGTTCCCACAGAGCCCACAAGTCCGGCCCTGGTAGGAGCCAGGCACGCTCACCTCCACCTGGGACTGCCCGTCCCACAGCACCTGTGTGGAGAGGCCTGGGACTGGGGAGCAGGTAAGGACAGGGGCCTGAAGAAGCCCAGGGTCCATTATGGCCCCAGGCACTGTGTTCAGCGCAGCCAGTGCTGCAGGGGAGGAGAATGGACAGGTGGAGGCTTCCCTTGGAAGAAACACAGCCCTAGCCAAGGCCAAGTGGATACATTCTGTGCCAGCCCTGGGCAAAGATGACAGGAGGAGCTGCCCACAGCTCCTGCATGAGGGCACCTTCTCCTGCCGCCATCCCTCAACTGGGCCCCACGTGAAATGCAACCCCCTTCCAGGGACTCACTTTCTCACGGGCATCCCGGCCTTGCAGAGGACAAAGCACAATTAGGGTTCAGATTAGAAGTGTATACCCTTATTCTATGAATTTACAAGTTGTGTTTCTTGCTGGGCGCAGGGGGCAAATTACTCCTTCCACATGAGGGTTGGAAGGAACCTGAGACACCCCCCAGGAGACTTTAGCTGACATCCTCCCCACTGCCACTGACCCTTCCCATTCCCCACTTTACAGATGAGAAATCTGAGGCCCAGAGGAGGCTGTTGGTGACTTAAGAGGCTGAGTCAAGATTAGAAATCAGTCTCAGAATTCAGAACTCCTCTGACTGCCCGGGGAGATCTCTGACCCTGATCCACCTCCCCTCACAGCCCTGCACCCCACTCCTGGCCTCTTTTGGCCAGGAGGTAGCTGGCATCCCCACCCCCCTATAGATACAGAGGCCTAAACAGGACTGAAGCTCCCAGCAGGCAGCCCACCCAGACTCGCCCTGGAGCCGCACCTGGAGCCCGGGCTGGGTATGCAGGATCACAGTGTGTCCTCGCAGCTCCACATACAGCAGCGGCTCCTGCAGGAAGGGCAAGGCCACTGGGCGCCCATCCACCTGGAGGATAAAGGAGGTGGGAGGAGGGGCGATGTCGAGGCACATGGGTGGACAGCATGGGATCCACCTTCCTCTGCTCATCGGCTTTGCTCACAGTGACTGCTCCGCCCTGCAGCAGCCGCACGGCCACGTCTCCCAGCAGCACCGCCACCTCCTGGGTCCAGGCCACGCCGCTCCGGCCCCGGTCATCATTGGTCACGTGCACACTGTGGGTGGGAAAGTCCCAGGTGCCAATGGTCAGCAGGGCTGGGTGTAGGGGTTGGGGAGAAGAGAGACGGGGGATGCACACCTGAAGTCCCCGCTGTGGCAGTCCTTGGCCAGCACATAGCTGCAACTGCCCTGGAAGTGCAGCAGGCGGCCGTCGAAGGTGCGGTAATGGGGGTCTCCGAAGGCCATGCAGGAAGCTGGCCGGGGCAGGCAGCGGGGGCAGCAGCTGCCAGGACTCAGGGCAGGGGCCTTGTCCTGCATTCAGCCCCAGACACTGTCAGACACCCCAGACCGCCCTCCCGGCCATGCCTCTGGCAGACCCTCCCAGAAAACCAAGCATCTCCCAGGAGTCTCCAGGGATCTCCAGGACTCCAGCACCTGGGCTCCCTGCGAGCAAGGTCAGGGCACCACTTTGTGGTCGCACTGGGGACAGCACTGTGCCCAGCTCCCAGCTGGCTGCAGGAGCCCAGCCTCCCTCTCGGATGCCTGATCACACCAGGACGGTGGTACCATGTGCCCCCACCCTGACCCTCCCCACCACCTTAGATTGCGGTACTCACGGGGCCACACGAGAGCGGTGAGCAGCGCCGGCTCTGGCAACGCACGGTGCCCGCCATGCAGGAGCAGCTGGTGCAGGCGTCCACAGTCCAGCGCTCTCCAGAGGCCACCTCACGGCCCTGGTGCACGCAGGACTGGGTGGGAGCTGAAGGGATAGGAGCTGGGAGGTCAGCTGCCCCTCCCACATGCCCAGAAGGTCTGACTTACCCCCTCCTCCATCATCCTGGCTGCACACCTTGGCATCGCTCACAGCAGCTGTCAGCCTGGGGCACCTTTGCCCAGCCATGGGGGCAGGAGAGGGCCTGGCACTCCTCGAGGTGGCACTCCACATGGCCCCGCTGAGGACAGACATCATTGTTCTGGGGTTTTCTGCAGGGCCGGAGTCCCTGGCCTCATGCTTCTGGGGGCATCTGGGCATGGACTTCTGCCTGCCCCTCCCACAATACACTCTTCACAGTTCAAGTGGAGAATGAAATCCAACATTCAGCTCCGTGCCCTGGTGCAGGGATGCCCTTGCCCCTTAAAGACCCCATATTTGCTGGTGGAGTGTTGGACACTCCTCCCTTTATCCATCTGTGAGATCCTCTACCCTCCCAGACCCACCCCAGCTCACACGACAGGTGCAGGTGATGCACGCATTGCTGGGGTCCCTCCAGCTCTCTCCATCTGCCACTCTCCGGCCCTCAGCCTCCACCACACATTCTGAGGAGGAAGACATGGGATGGGCAGGCACTGTCCCTCCAGCTGTATCCTCCCTCCTCGGAGCTTACCCCGCATTTCATGGCAGGAAAGCACCCACTCAATTTCCCTACCACCCTGATGGTGTTGATTTCTTCAACCAATATCCACAGGGCCTATTAGATATCAGGCCTCGCATCAGTGCTGGGGATGTCTCTAGGGTCCTAGGAGCCCAAAGGGCCAGAGGCTGGAACCCCACTCTGGGCCGGCTGCCCACTCAGTAGTGCAATGCCCTCTTCATGGGCCTGGAGATCCCAAGCCCCCTGAGAGGCATCAGGCCAGACCTTGAGAATCTAGGCTTCATCCCAGCTTCCCCCTGCCTCATGGGTCTCTTCCCCACCTCAAGAACAGCCCCCCTCCATTTCTAGAAAAGAATGAACCCTGTATTCTTTTCTAAAAACCGAGTACAAACCCTAGACTGCCCACTTGGCCCATGAATGTGTCCCCTTCCTGTCTTCCCCCTGGGCTCCTTTCTGAGGGTGGAGGCCAGGGCTGAGCACTTACCCTGGCACACGGGGCAGCAGCTCCCAGGGGGAGTGTGGCGCTCTGAGAGGGGACAGCTGAGCTCAGGACAGGTCTGGTGGATGCAGAGCCATGTCAGGTCCTGCCCATGGGAACACAAGAGGTAGAGAATGGCAGATCTCAGGGAGCTGGTGGAGGAGTAAGGCGTAGTCATGATGTGACAGTCAGGACAAGTGGGCAAATGTCAGGGTGAGTGGAGAGCCCTGGAGCTGCTGCGGGAGAGGAGGGGCAGCCACAGCCTACACAGAAGGAAGAAGAGGGGCTCTGTGAGTCCCCAAGGCAGGAGGGCTCACCTGGCACTGGCACGTGTAGCAGGGGTCTGGTGGGGCTAGCTCAGATCCCAGCAGGCCCTCTGAACAGTTACTCAAAGCCTCTGTGAAGACAAGAACCCAGAGTGGGGGACAGAAAAAGGGGCACAGGGCTGGAAATCCCAGCTGTCCCCACGCACTGTGTCCCCAGATTTCTACCTTGAACTCCTGGGCATACCCGCATCCCAGCACCTTGACTCAGGGGAGGACAAGTTCTCTTTCTCTTTAATTCAGTCACGTTCACACGTTTGCAAAGAAACTTTGCTAGGTTGTTATGTGGGGCCGGGTAGGGGTGCAAGGTGACTGGAAACAGACCAAGCATGGCTTCCTTAGCCTGAGGTCACTAAGAATGGCCAGCCTACGGCCTGCTCTCCCTCCCACTGTATCTGTAATACAGTGTGGCTACAACAGTGCAGGGAAGCACACAGCCAGGCATCCTGAGTTCGAATCCTGATGCCAGCACTCAGTGCCTGTGCTCATTAGGTTAGATTAATCCATCTTTCTGAGCCTCAGTTTCTTAATCTGTAAAAAGAGATTAATACTTCCCTCACTGGATAACTGTGAAAACAAAGCGAGAGACTTTATTAAGAGCACCAGGTACAGTGTGTGGCATGCAGTAGGTGCTTAATAAATGTTGGCCTTCCTCCCTTCCCCTGAAGAACCCCCAAGCAAGTGTTGACCTCCCTGCTGGATGGCAGGGATGGCTGCACAGCATTATGAACATATTTAATACCACAAACTGTACACTTAAAAAATGGTTAGGATCGTACATTTTAGTGTCTTACCACCATAAAAATAAATAAATAAAAAATAAAAAAACAGAAAAGCCAGCGTGGTGGCTCACACCTGTAATCCAGCACTTTGGGAGGCCGAGGCAGGAGGATCACCTGAGCTCAGGAGTTCGAGACCAGCCTGGACAACATGGTAAAACCCCATCTCTACTAAAAACACAAAAAATTAGCCAGGCGTGGTGGTGCATGCCTATAATCCCAGCTACTTGGGAGGCTGAGGCAGGAGAATTCCTTGAACCCAGAGGTTGCAGTGAACTGAGATTGTGCCACTGCACTCCAGCCTGGGTGACAGAGCGAAACTCTGTCTCAAAAAAACCAAAACCCAAATCAAAAAACCAAACTGGAGAAAACAGGAGGATTATCATTTTAAAAGAGTATGTTTTTTCTTTTTTGAGACAGAATCTCACTCTGCCACCAAGCTGGAGTGTAGTGGTGCAATCTCGGCTCACTGCAACCTCTGCCTCCCGGGTTCAAGCTATTCTTCTGCCTCAGCCTCCCGAGTTGCTGGGATTACAGGTGTGCGCCACCACGTCTGGCTAATTTTTGTATCTTTAGTAGAGACAGGGTTTCACCATGTTGGCCAGAATGGTCTCGATCTCTTCACCTTGTGATCCTCCCGCCTCAGCCTCCCAAAGTGCTGGGATTACAGACGTGAGCTACTGGCCCTGGTCTGTTTTTTCTATGTAAGGATAACTAACGTTCACCTGTATTGCAAAGGTAGGTTATCATTTCAGTGCTGGTATAGAACCAGAAACAGAAAAAATTTCCCTTCACAACAAATGAAAAATGGCTGTGTCGGGTAAACCACAAGTGTTAAATCCAGGAGACAGAAATTGGCCATCTTTCAATATTTGTAATAAAAATAAAACTGTTTCTTTACTTACTTTTCCCCCCAATCTTAATAAATCTTTACTCTAAAAAAAAAAAAAAAAAAAAAAATGCTCGCCCACCCCTGTGACTGGGCCACCCACTGCCTGTCTTGTCCTCACGTCTCAGCACAACTGTCGCCTTGCAGCGCCACCTGCTGGCCAGATGCTCCACAAACGCCACTCAGCTGCGGAGAGGCAAAGGGTCCCTGCCAGCTTTCCCAGTTCCCCTAGGGATGGTGCAGCCCTCACAGGCCTGGCATGGGGTTCCAGAACAGCCCACTGGAGTCAGGAAAAATCTGGGGCTGGCGGAGGGGTGGCATAATACATAACTCATATCTCATCTACCTCCCCCTGACCCCAGGGAGCGGGGTGTGCACGAGGACGGAGGCCACTTCAACTGCCTGTCTCTGCCACCCGGCCCAGCAGAGACAAGCAGGTGTGGGCCCAGGACCTCCTCCCCGCATTTCCCCTCCTGCCCCAGGCTTCCAGTACCAGGCTCATCCCTGTACTCACGGGCACAGGTCGGACAGCAGTGCTGGGGCCCAGGGAGCAGGAGCTGGCTAGGGGGGCAGCCCACCAGGCTGGGACACTGCCGCCGGTGACAGCGAAGGCTGGGAGGCCCATCAGGCTGTGGCTACAAGAATGAGTGAGCAGCGGTGGGTCCCGGGCCACAAAAACCCAGAGCTGCCCGTGGCGGGGACTTCCGGCCCCTCCCTCTGCCTGCTGCAACCTCTTCCGGGACACATCTTGGGCCCTGAACTTCAGGCTGAAGAGAGACTCAGAATCTTCTAGACATGCTCCTCACCCCATGCCCTAGTCTTCGAGACGATGTCTCCTTCTCCTTTCAGTCACTTGGGCCTGAGCCCTCATGTGACCTTTGATCCTCCAGCAGGCTCATGCCATCCTCCTCCCCAGGCCCATGGCTTAGTTCCCCGGCCTGTGATGTCATTTGCCTGCTCCAAGCCCTTCCAGGGCCTTGCAAATAGAATCTCCACAACCCTAGCCACGTTCCAGGTGGCTCTCTGGCCATACACACTCACCCTGCACTGCAGCTGGGGGACCACCCATGGTCTCCTGCACACTTGGAACGTGGGCTCCTTGTCTAAACCCAGAACTCCAGGCCTTGTTGGTTCCAGCCCTGCCTTGTCTCCTGGCCACAGGGGATACACTCATCTGGCCCCCAGAGTGCCCGCTCCATGAAGTGACCAGCTTGGCTGGGCCTCATCTCATGCTGCCCACTCCCCACCCCTCGAGGTGCCCTAGCCCCTCCACTGAGCCCTCACCTACCTGGCAGATGCACACTTCACAGGGGTCTGCCCCAGGCTGGAAGCTTTCCCCAGGCTCGTACTTCCGGCCCTCATGCTCACAGTCTTTGGGGTGAGAGCAGAACGGGACCAGGGGGCCTTCAGGTTGGCAGCGAGGCCGGGGTGGAGTCCTCTGTCCCCAGCCTCCCCCTGACCCCAGGGAGTGGGGTGTGCACAAGGACGGAGGCCACTTCTCCAACTGCCTGTCTTTGCCACCCGGCCCAGCACAGGCAAGGAGGTGTGGGCCCAGGGCTCCCTCCTTGCCTTTTCCCTCCCGTCCCAGGCTTCTAGTACCAGAGCATCGAGGACAGCAGTCATGGGGCCCCTGGTGGGGCTGGGCACAAGAGCTGATGCACTGGATGCGTGCACAGGTGACGACACCCTCGTGACACACGCAGGAGGAGCAGGCACTGTCAGGGGGCACCCAGCTACTGCCTTCAGGGTGCTCTTCCCCATAAGCCAGGCAGCCTGTGGTACAAGGTGGGCAGGGACGAGCTTGGAGGTTGAGATCTGGACGTCTGCCCTGGCCCCCACCCTCAGTGGTCAGCTAGGCACGTGGCGGCAGGAGTAGTGGGTTTGCAGGGATGTGGCGGGAAGGCAGGATGGGGCAGAACTCCTGTCTGTTGTGGAGGGGAAAGGCACTGGGTGGGGTTCAGAACACCTGGGTTCTAATCCTGTTCTGTTCCTGCCTGCTCTGAAGACCAAGCTCCAGGCAGCGGGCACTGCCCAGTGCAGCCCGCACCGGCCACAGTACCTGGCATGTAGCAGCTGTGTCATGAATGCACGTGGACCAGGTGAATGGCTCCATCGCTAACTGTGTGCCCAAGGTAACTCAATCTCTCTGAGCCTCAGTCTCCTCATCTGTTAAATGGGGATTTCCTCTGTCCTGCCTCCCTCACAGAGCAAGTGAAATGCTATGACAGTTCTGTGGTTCTGTAGAAACACCACCAGGCTGGGCAGTGTGTGGGGTGAGGGGGCAGTGGGCAGGCTCAGAAAGGCTCAAATTCAGAGCCAGATGGCCCAAGTGCCCATCTTGGCTCTGCCACCTTCTCTACCTCTCTGTACCTCCACTTTCTCATCTGTAAAATAGGAGGAATAAGAGTACTTATCTGGTAAGGTTGTTGTGCTGATTAAATGAGATAATACACGTATAGTGCTCAGGGCCTGGCACATGCTACCTGTTCAGTGAATGTCAGGTATCTTGATGATGATGATGATGATGGTGGTGGTGGTGGTGGTGGTGATGATGATGATATGATGATGAATGGGGTGTGATTAGAAAGAGGGGCAGCTTTTTATTTTATTTTTGAGACAGAGTCTTCTTTGTTGCCCAAGCTGGAGCGCAGTGGTGCAAATGCAGCTCACTGCAGCCTCAAACTCCTGGGTTCAAGTGATCCTCCCGCCTTGGCCTCCCAAAGTGCTGGGATTTCAAGTGTGAGCTGCTGCACCCAAACCAAGAGAGGCAGCTTTGAGGGAACTCTAACCAGCACCTGGAAGAGGGATGGTCTGGGCAGTCCAGGACAGGGAGAGGTAGGAGAAGCTGAAGGTGGCAAGGGTGTATGCAAGTGTCAATTGTGGGGGCAGGGAGGTGGGAGAAGAGCTGGCTGAGGGGAGGGAGGTGGGGTGGACAGAGGGACATAGGGCCAAGGGGCTGAAGCAAGGGGTAGGGCTGGGGGCAGCCATACCTCTGCAGCGAGGGCAGCAGCTCCCCGGCTCGGTGACCTGGAGCTGGCAGGGAAGGGGTGGGCACCGCAGCCGCACACAGCTGACCTGGCCAGCCTGTAGGAGATGCAGAGATACTGACTTGCTGCCTAGGCTGGGCCCCAGAGGTGCTATGGTCCAGCCGTCACTCCATGCCTCCCACCTCCTGCTATACCTGACAGCGACACCATTCACAGCTGCCTGCTGCTCCCTCAAACTCCTCCCCATCCTGGTGCTCCCGGCCCTGAGAGACGCAGCCTGTGGGGGACATACCTCCTGGGTGGAGGGCCTGTACCACCCTGCCCTGCTCAGCCCAACCTTAGGCCTGGCAGGAAGGGAAGGGGGAGGCAGAGGTGGAGAAGGGCGTGGGGGCCGGGCACGAGGAAGGCAGCTCACTGTGGCAAACAGGGCAGAAGCAGGGTCCTGGAGAGGGGTGGGGGCAGAGAGCTGGGGGACATGGCTTCTTCTGGCAGCGCATGGAACCTTCCTAGGGGAGAGAGGCCCATCACACCCTCAACTGGGCTGCACATTTCCCCAGGGCTGGAGCCCCTACTGAGCCTGCAGGGGCCCAAACACCCTCCCTTGGCCCGGGAGACCTGAGCCCAGTCCTGTCCCATGAGATGTCAAGGGCAGAGTGTAGCCCTTGCCACCTGAGTGGAGGAGACAGCCTCTTCCTGGCTGGAGAAGAGGATCAAGGGAGGAAAGGTTACCAAAGTCCCAAAGGGGCTGCCTCACCTGGCAGGTGCAGAGCGAACAGGCAGGGTCAAGTGGGTCAGGAAGGGTCTCTCCGGAGGCAGCAGTGACGCCATGGTAGTGGCATCCTGGCAGAGTGGGGAGTCCAACAGAAGAGCTGCCATCAACAGAGCCTCCACTGTCACACACACACACAGCTCCTCCCCACACACACATACACACACAGCAGCGGGGAGTGCCCCAGAAGAGCTGCCATCAACAGAACTGCCACTGTCACACACACACAGCCCCTTCCCCCTCCACACATACGCACACAGCCACACCCACACCCACAGCCACACACACACATACACATACCCACATACATACACATACCCAGATACACACACCGCCACACCTACACTCACAGCCACACACACACACACACCCAGATACACACACAGCCACACCCACAACCACATACACACACACATACGCAGACACACACACACACATACACACAGCAGGGGGGAGTGCAACAGAAGAGTTGCCATCAACGGAACCGCCACTGTCACACACACACGCGCACAGCCCCTCCCCCCACACATACGCACACAGCCACACAAACACACATATACACACAGTCACACATACACAAACACACACATAGCCACACACACAGATACACACACAGACACACATACAGCCACACACATACATATACACAGACACACACGGTCACACACACAGAGCAACACATACACATACACAGATACACCCACACAGAGCAACACAACACACACACATACACACACACCCAAACACACAGGGCAACATACACAGCCACACACAGATACACACATACACACACACAGTGACACATACATACACACACACAGCCACACACACATAGAGAAACACACACAGCCACACTCACAACCACACATGGCCACACACATACACACAGAGCCACACACACACAGAGCCACACTCGCAGAGCCACACACACAGCCAGACGCACACACACATACAGACACACACAAACACACACACACAGCCACACATACACAGAGCCACACATACACACAAACACACAGCCCTGCTCGGGACCTCTATCAAAGGTGAGGGAGTCGGAGAGTGAGAGGAAAGTATGGTGGAGAGACAGGCAGTGGGAGGGCTGGGAAGAAAGCGGAATTGGTGAGAGAGGCACTCCTGGGAACCCCAGCAGGGGCAATGGAAGGGCAGGTGTGGCCCTACCCTGGCAGGTCGGGCAGCAGTGCCCAGAGGGGATGAGTGGGTGGCTGCAGCCCGGAGGTTCACAGGGCCGGCGGCCGCAGGTCACGAAGCCTCCAAGGCAGGTACACAGGTTGCAGGGTTCTCGGGGATCTGGGAACTCCTGGCTACTCAGGTAGGACTCCCCCAGGTACTCACAGCCTTTCAGAGAAGAGACAGAGAGGCTGAGGGGAGGGACAGAAAGGGATCAGAGCACAGCAGTCATAGGCTCTGAGCTTGGGCCTGTTATGCGTCCAAGATCTCAAAGATCTAGAGTAGGGGGTGGGGGTCACAGTCCAAGCCCAGGGAGCAAAGCAATCGTGAGGAATGCGGGGTTTGGATTGGCCAAACGGCAAACTTTCTCCCCTTTGTCCTGCAAAAAACTTTCCTATTTAACTTGTAGAAAAACACCCACAAGGAATCTGCTGCCCCAGGGTTAAATACTCAGCAGGCCACTGCCAGAGGCACCAGTTTTCCAACCCGGAGAGCTGGGAGTAGCCCCAGCTCACTCAGGTGGTGCGAACCCAAGGTAGCACCTTTCCCACGCTCTTCCAAGCCCACTGATGAATCCAGGAGGGGGTGGGGTCCCAGGGTGGTGGCAGCCTGCCTTTGGCACCTCTGCCATTTGCTCAACTCCCTTTTTAAAAAAGATTGGGTGAATTTCAGGCTCAAAGCCTTGGTGGGCAAAAGTATCTGACTAGGATTTAACAACATGATCATTTTAATTGTATTCATTTTTATGGTAATGTGGTCCTGATAAGTCTACTTTTCCACTTACAGTATGATATAAAACTCCTTTCTAAATCAATTTAAATTAATAAGTGAGTTAATCAGAAGGCAAGTAGTAAACAAAATTACAGTTGGTAGAGGGCGACTGGCCAAAACTGCCAAGATTGCACAAGAGTGAGGGAAGACAGGAGGACTGGGGGACTGGGTCTTTTTACAAGAGCCAAATTTAGGCCCAGAGGTTATGTAACTTGCCTAAGACCACGCATCAAATAGCAACAGAGGCAGGAGAAGATCCAGGCTTTTGTCTCAGGCTTTTTTTTTTTGGCCAAGGTCTCACTCTGTCACCCAGCCTGGAGTGCAGTGGCGAAAACATGGCTCACTGTAGCCTCAAACCCCTGGGCAATCCTCCCACCTCAGCCTCCCAAGTAGTACAAGAGCCACCGCAACCAACTGATTTAAAATTTTTTGTGTAGAGACAAGATCTCTCTATGTTGCCAAGGTGGTCTTGAACTTCTGGGCTCAAGCGATCCTCCTGCCTCAGCCTCCCAAATTGTTGGGGTCACAGGCTCGAGCTAGGCTCCCAGCCTCAGGGCTTTTTCTTACTGTAATAAATATTTTAGATCCACCCTGGGGCAGTAAAGATTATGCTGACCCAGCCCTCTGGTCCCCCCATCCCACCCCCGCAGTTCCCTATCCCCTGACCCTCACCATCACAGTCAGGGCAGCAGTCGCCCCTGGCAGGGAAGGGGCACAGTGCAGGGGCACATGCCTTGGGCTCGCAGCTCACGCTGCCCTCCCAGCAAAGGCAGAGGTGGCAGGCGGCAGTGGTCGATGGGAAGCGCTCCCCGCTGGCAAACTCCTTCCCCTGGTACAGGCAGCCTGGGGAGAAGGGCAGGGGCTGGGGGCCGTGGGGGCTGGGGGCCGTGCGGGCTGTCTCCCAGGCCTTGCTGACCGGACATTACATTCCTAACGAGATGGGCGGAGCGGGCCTGGAGGAGGTGGACTGGACAGGGCGCTCCGGGGCGGGGCGGGGCGGGCCGGGACGGGCCTGCAGGACGCTGGTGGCTTGGAGGGGCGCCGCCAGGGCGTTACCGTCGCAGGAGGGGCAGCAAGGACCCTGGCGCGGGTGCGCGCAGGGCGCGGGAGGGCAAGGCAGCCGATGGCAGGACACGGAGCCGTCGAGGCAGAGGCAGCGGCGGCAGGGATCGCCGGGCGGGGAGAAGTACTCCTGGTGGCGGGCGGGGGCCGCGCCGGGCCGTGGGCAGCCGGCGGGGGCCGGGGGGGCTGCGGCGAGAGCGCGCGTCAAAGGGGCCCAGGAACAGGCCTCCGAGGGGACCTCGGGGGAGGAGCAGCCGAGGGATGCGGCCCCTACCCGGGCACTGCGGGCAGCAGTCTCCCGGCAGCAGGACAGGCTCTGGACAGGGCAGCGGCGAGCAGCGGCGGGTCAGGCACTGCACGTTGCCGCTCTACGGACCGACAGACGCACCATGGGTCGGTGGGTTAGTTGGGGGAGGCCGAGGAGACCCCTCCCATCCAGTTGCCACCAGGTGCCACCAGGTCCCACCCCTCCCACCTGGGCGGGCCTCTCCTGGCCTCCGCAAGTCCCGCCTCCACTCCCCTGGGTTCCTCCCACCCAGATGCAGACTCACCAGACAGCGACACAGACGGCAGGGGTCAGAGGGGTGGGGGAAGTCCGCTCCGCTGGCATACTCTTTACCGCCAAAGGCACAGCCTGTGGGAGGGAGCGGTTATAGCCTGGGAGACGGCGACTCCCCCAGGGCTTGCTGCCTTCCCAGGGCCACATCATCCCAGAAGGTCGCCCCGACTCGCCCAGCTCACCGCTACAGTTGTTCGGGCAGCAGGTCCCAGGCAGTGGGTGGGCACAGGGGGCCTTGAGGCAGGCGCGAGGCTGGCAGCGGGCATGGCCTTCCTGGCATCGGCACTCCTGGCAGGGATCTCGGGGGTGGGAGAAGCTCTCACCATCCACAAACACCTCTTCTTCCAGGATGCAGTCTAGGCAGTGGACAGTGGGGGCAGGTATGAGGGCAAAGCCTGAGAGCCCCTCCAGCCCTGGAGTCCGGAGCCGCTGCCCAAGTGCCCACTTGGAAGCTGACTCGATAGGGAAGAGGAGGAAGTGGCCATGTGCACATGTGTATCATTCTGAGCACACACGTGTGTGTGCATGTGCACTGGGGATCATTCACCTGCAGGCAGATGTGTCTCTCTCAGGGGAAGAAGGGGAGTGCTTACACACGTGTGTACCTGTGTTTGACACACGCCCTCACACAGACTCTATGCCGGCAGGGACATGTCCCATGCATCCCAGCACCCGGCCTCCTATGTGGCAGGCTCAAGTGTCTGCTCATGAACCTGTGTTATCCAGGTAGATACCTAGGGGGTGGGGGGTGGGGGCTCTAGAGTGGTGGTGGGGGACAGTAGTTACTAAAAGAGGAAATGCAGCATGGGAGGGGAGGGTGGTGTAGGTACAAGCAGGAATAAACAAATCTCTACTCTCCCTCCCACCCATGCACACCCCCTGAGTTCCAGAGAGTTCTAAGCTCTGAAATAGGACTGAAACAATTCAGAAGGCCAATGCTTTCTAAGGTATCTGTTGGGTCCATGGGGCTGTGGGACAGCAGCCTCTGGGGCCCTGATCCCCTCAGGCACAGTGAGTGCCCACATACCTGGGCACCTGGGGCAACACTGGCCCGGTCCACTCTGGGGCCTGGCACAGGTCGTGAGAGGGCAGTCAACCAAGGAGCATGTCACAGTTCCATCCTGGGAGACAGCAGGGGAGAGAGCAATGGGGGCACGCCCAGGAGGGGCTCAGCAGGGCAGCAGCAAGGCTGGGCAGCTACCTGGCAGCGGCAGACATGGCAAGGGCTGTCTGCGTCCGTGAAGTTCTGCCCATTGGCATACACTTGGCCATGGTAGGTGCAGCTGTCACAGCTGGGGCAGCAGGCACCTGGGTGGGGCAGGCTGGTCAGGGTGAGCTGGGTAATGCAGGGGAAGAAAGCCAGGATCAGCCCAGGCACTCACCAGGGGGCTGGGTGGGGTGCTGGCAGGGGGCTGGGGAGCAGAGCGCAGCCCCGCACTTGGGTACCCCATCTTGACAGACGCAGGTGGTGCAGGGCCGACCATCAGGCTCCCACTGGACTCCCTCAGCAAACTCCTCTCCATCCAGCACACAGGCTGTAGTAAGGGGGCTGTCATATGGCAGCTTGCACACCTCCCACTCATCCCTGTCCTTCCCAGGACACAGGGACCCCAGCTTCACCATCCCCACTGACACTGTAGAATGGCTAGTGGATGTAGCAACCCGTACGCCGTCCAGGGAAGGAGCACCCTCCATTTGCAGCCCCCGGAGGCAGCGCCCATAGCAGCTGCTCCTCCCCTTCTCACACACACCTGGGCAGAGCTGGCGACCAGAGGCAGGCAGGGCACAGGGAGTGACTGGGCACTCCTGCTCCTCACAGGAGACCTCGCCAGCCTAGGAGGGAAGCAGGTGAGACACCCTGAAGGAATGAGGCAGATCTGGGTGTGAGCGGAGGAACCACCTACCTGGCAGGAGCAGCGGACACAGAGGCCCCGCTCTTGGAGTCTGAAAGTCTCCTGGCTCTGATACTGGTGTCCCTGGTACTCACAGCCTGGATGGGATGACAGGGGCGTGGGGTAATAGGACTGGAAGCAGACGGGAAGCTTCACATCACCCCAAGACGTCCAACCCCCACCCAGACAAAGAAGACCCAGCAGAGTTCTCCAGGGTGCCCTGCCAGCAGCCCCCCACCCCCCACAGCTATGCTACAGAAGCACAGGCCCCAGCATGGTGCCAGTTTGTCGTGAGAAGGTGTGGTGAGGACTCACTTTGGGAACAGGGTAACAGGGGCTTAGGTCCAAGAGAAGCAAATCCCCCACAGCTGGAGCCTCTCTGTGGCCAAGGCCTGCCCCTCTCGCAGTGACTCCGGCCCCCACTCACCATCGCAGACAGGGCAGCACTGCCCAGGGATCTTGCCTGGGTGTCTGCAGGGCACCGGCGGGCAGGGCAGAGACTCACACTGGACACTCCCGTTCTGCCAACAGGGCCTGGTCAGGACACCAGAGGCAGGCCCGGGAGCCAGGCCCTCCCTGCCAGGCAGCCACACTCACAGCGCAGCGGCAGTGCGAGCAGGGGTCCCCTGAGCCCACGGGCTCCCCGCTGCGGTGCTCCCGCCCGTTTAGGAAACAGCCTGTTGGGAAGGGGGGCCTTAGATGTTCCTCTGGGGCCCCTCCCTGCCCTCTCCTGGCCTCCATGGGCTCCCGAGCAGGGCCACCCATCAACTTTCTCCAGGTTGCCCCCCGTGGTCAGGTCCCTGCCCTACCCACCGACTCACCATCACACACAGGGCAGCAGGTGCCTGGGAGGGGCCGGGCTGGGTACGGACACAGGCTGGCACATTCTCGCTGGCGGCACTGGATGTGACCCTCCTGGTGGGGAGAATGAATAGGGGAAGGGGCTGTCAGGGCTCAACTGAGAGGAGGAAATGGCATTAGGATCCCCGCTATCCACTTATTAGATGTTGTCATGGATTGAATTGTGTGGCCCCGCCCCCAAATCCATATGTTGAACTCCTCACCCCCAGCACCTCAGCCTGTTACATTATTTGGAAACAGGGTCATTGCAGATGTAATTAGTTAAGATGAGGTCATACTGGATCAGGGTGGGTCTCTAATCCAATATAACTAGTATCTTTTTTTTTTTTTTTTTTTTTTTGAGATGGTGAAAAAGACCTTGCTGATAAAACAAGTTGCAGGTTTACAGGTTGTAAGTTGAGACAGAGTTTCACTCTTGTTGCCCAGGATGGAATGCAATGGTGTGATCTCAGCTCACTGCAACCTCTACCCCCTGGGTTCAAGCGATTCTCCTGCCTCAGCCTCCCGGGTAGCTGGGATTACAGGCACGCACCCCCATGCCCTGCTAATTTTTTATACTTTTAGCACAGACGGGGTTTCACCATGTTAGCCAGGCTGGTCTCAAACTCCTGGCCTCAGGTGATCCACATGCCTTGGTCTTCCAAAGTGCTGGGTTTACAGGCGTGAGTCACTGTGCCAGGCAGTATCCCTCTAAAAAGGGGAAATTTACACACAGACACACACACACACATACACACACAGGGAGAACGGTATGGAAAAGAGAAGGCAGAGGTTCAGGTGCTGCAGAAGCCAAGGAATGCCAGTGATCACCAGCGAACCACCAGAAGCGAGGACAGAGGCTGAAGCAGATTCCTCCTCACAGTCCCAGAAGGAACCAACCCTCCCACACCTTGGTCTCACACTTCTGGCCTCCAGAACTGTGAGACAATATATTTACATTGTTCAAGACACCTAGTAAGTGGCACTTTGTTACAGCAGCCCAAGAAACTCATACGGATACACAAACTGGCATGTCACTTAAGCTCTCTGTGACTCAGTTTACTCATCTGAAAAAAAATGGACAATAATAGTCCTGTTCTCATAGGCTTGTTGTGGGATCAAAGGAAACAAGGGATCTGGTGTGGCGCCTACCTCTAGAAGCTGGTACTTAGCATGGTGACTGCTGCCACTCCCCAATGGCCTGACTTCAAAAGACCCCATGCCTTGAATTCACACCCACATCCCTGGGCCCACTGCCTCCACCTCCGTCAGGGTCTGAGCAGCCAATGACTTCTCATGGGTGGGGAGAGGGAGGACATGGTTGTGTCAAAGGAGTTTGAACCACAGCAACTCCGTCTTGAATAGGGGCTAGGTGAAATGAGGCTGAGACCTAGTGGGTGCATTCCCAGATGGTTAGGCATTCTAAGTCACAGGATGACATAGGAGGATGGCACAAACTACAGATCGTAAAGACCTTGCTGATAAAACAGGTTGCAGCCAAAACCCACCAAAACCAAGATGGCAATGAGAGTGACCTCTGGTCGTCCTCACTGCTACACTCCTGTCGGCGCCATGACAGTTTACAAATGCCATGGCAATGGCAGGAAGTTACCCTACATGGTCTAGAAGGGGGCGTCATGAATAATCCACCCCTTGCTAAGCATATCATCAAGAAATAACCATAAAAATGGGCAACCGGCAGCCCTCAGGGCTGCTCTGTCTATGGAGTAGCCATTCTTTTACTCCTTTACTTTCCTAATAAACTTGCTTTCACTTTGCTCTATAGACTTGCCCTGAATTTTTTCTTGTGCAAGATCCGAGAACCCTCTCTTGGGGTCTGGATCAGGACCCCTTTCCTGTAACATCTTTCTGGCGACCACTGAAGGGATGATAGTGTGGTTATCCCCGACCCACAGGCTAATTTTGGTAAGTGATGGGGTCTGGTAACGTCTTTCTGGTGAGCCATGGAAGGGACAATACTGAAGAAATCCCCCGACCTTCTAAATAGGCTGCACCAGTGGGGTGCATATACCCAGGGAAAGAATGGGATTGGGTCAGAGGTCCCACTTAGGGGAGTTAGAGGTCTCTCTTAATAAAAGGCATGGACACTTGATGGGCCTTGGGATAGAGGCCCAACTCAGGAGGGTTAGAGTCTGTTCTAAGATTTAAACGATTAGAGGCCCCTCTGGGTAAAGTCTCTCCCAGTAAAGAATGGGTTTGGCACTACAGGATGTTAACTGCTATTCTCTTGGGATTAATCTGTCTTGTACTCACAGCTGACATCTGTGGGTGACAGGATTAGGCAAATACAGGATCGTGGGACATGGGGAGTTTTTTCCTCGCTAAAAGGGAAAACTTAAGAGCTGATAGGACTGCCAAAAAAGATCCCTTTGTGGCCCGGCGCTGTGGCTCACGCCTATAATCCCAGCACTTTGGGAGGCCAAGGAGGGCAGATCATGAGGTCAAGAGATCGAGACCATCCTGGCCAACATGGTGAAACTGTTTCTACTAAAAATACAGAAATTGGTCGGGCGCGGTGGCTCATGCCTGTAATCCCAGCACTTTGGGAGGCTGAAGTGGGAGGATCATGAGGTCAGGAGATTGAGACCAGCCTGGCCAACATAGTGGAACTCCATCTCTACTAAAAATACAAAAAATTAGCTGGGCAAGGTGGCAGGTGCCTGTAATCCCAGCTACTTGGGAGGCTGAGGCAGGAGAATCGCTTAAAGCCGGGAGGCAGAGGTTGCAGTGAGCCATGATCGCGCCACTACACTCCAGCCCGATGGACAATATGAGACTCCATCTGACCAAAAAAAAAAAAAAAAAAAAAAAAAAAAAAATTAGCTGGGCGTGGTGGCACATGCCTATAGTCCCAGCTACCAGCTACTCGGGAGGCTGAGGCAGGAGAATCACTTGAAACCAGGAGGCAGAAGTTGCAGTGAGCTGAGATCATGCCATTGCACTCCAGCCTGGCGACAGAGCAAGACTCCATCTCAAAAAAAAAAAAAAAAAAAAAAAAAAATCCCTTCACTACTGATACGCGGCCACCCAAACTTTTGAGCAACAGGTGGGTCTTTCTCTGGCCTCCCTGAGCACTTCGCTTTTCCCACTCTGCCTCAGGCAATGCTTCCCCCTGTGCCCTCCACTGCAAGTTGGTTGAATGAATGGTAAAAATCACCATTTATTTCCTCTGTTTTGATTAATGGAAAAAAAGAATGTGTGAGCTAGTCTTAAGCTATAGTGAATCTGGTGTGCTTTGTGTGTCTTTCTGTATTGTTCTGTCATAAAGAAAGGTACCTTAGAATAGAACACAGGCTTAGGAGACCTGTCAGCCTGCTTTTCAACACAACCCAGCAAACTGGTCAGTTACAAACTTTGCTGCAGGTCCCTGAAAAAAAAACTAGATAAGGTTTCCCTCTTGTCTAGTATGTCCTTGGGAGCTTGACCTTGTAACCACATGGCAGTACTCTCTCTTGGTCTCTGCCATCACAATGGTGACTTGGGTTCAGGGTTCAGTTTACAACTTAGAGGATGAGCCCTTTATCTTCTTTTGCCTGTGTATTTATATGTGTGGTGTGTGTGATGCTTATATAGAAAAGAGCTTTAACTAATTGGTTTAATAATAATAAGAGCTTAAATATTTTGTCAGAAAAGTAAGTCTAATGCCTTTTAGTTCATGTGACTTAAGTAATCTTTTGGGAAATACCTATCTGAGATTCTTTATGGAACAGAGTTCCATCAAAGCCAATTTCAAAGAGCTTATATAAAAAATAATTATTCTTGCCACACTTTATACAAATAATCAGGCCAAATATAATAAGGCAAATCAGTGTTACCATGATTAGTCTTTAGTAAAAATGGGAAACTGGAAAGAGAAAGATTATATTTCAAGAACTATGGTATACTTGTTATTAAATTCTCGTCTTGGCAGTTGTTTTTAAGTTTGTTTTTGCAATTTAGACTGACTGCTTGTTCCTGTGACCCAACCAGAGATCTCTGGCTGCTGCAGAAAAGAAACAAAAAGGATGGGTTATGTAAAAATCTGGAGTCAATATTCTAATTCTAGGCATGTGCTGGAATCATCTAGCAATCCCATATCAGCTTAGTTCCAACAGTTGCCCAGTTCATGGAAAGCCTTCTAATTTAGTTTACCTGAGACAGTTTTACTGATTTTGCTTTACTCTTGTGGAATATGTTTCTGTTGTACTCTTTGGGTAGGAATAAGGATAAGCTTACTCAACATTTTCTTAAATTAAACATTTATTAATCTTCCAGATATCAACTTTTGTCAGAACTCGGAGTTATGAATGGCCCTTGCCATACTGATGCTTTCTGATTAAGCACCTCTCTACCCTGAACACAAGAGAGAGAGACCCTAACAGTTAGGCAGGAATGTCATTGCCCCTATTCAGCCTGAAGAAATTACAGATGGACCTTTGTCCCTTTGCACCCCTTAGGATTAAGGGTTCTCTTATAGGCCGGGTGCGGTGGCTCAAGCCTGTAATCCCAGCACTTTGGGAGGCCGAGACGGGAGGATCACGAGGTCAGGAGATCGAGACCATCCTGGCTAACACAGTGAAACCCCGTCTCTACTAAAAATACAAAAAATTAGCCGGGCGAGGTGGCGGGCGCCTGTAGTCCCAGCTACTCGGGAGGCTGAGGCAGGAGAATGGCGTAAACCCGGGAGGCGGAGCTTGCAGTGAGCTGAGATCCGGCCATTGCACTCCAGCTTGGGCGACAGAGCGAGACTCCATCTCAAAAAAAAAAAAAGGGTTCTCTTATAAAAGGGAGGGGGAAAATGTCAGAGGCATTTGAACCAGAGCAACTCCATCTTAAATAGGAGCTGGGTAAAATGAGGCTGAGACCTACTGGGCTGCATTCCCAGATGGTCAGGCATCCTAAGTCACAGGATGAGATAGGAGGTCGGCACAAAACATAGGTCATAAAGACCTTGCTGATAAGACAGGTTGTAGTAAAGAAGTCAGCCAAAACCCACCAAAACCAAGATGGCAACGAGAGTGACCTCTGGTCGTGCTCACTGCTATACTCCCACCAGCGCCATGATCGTTTACAAACGCCATGGCAATGTCAGGAAGTTACCCTATATGGTCTAAAAAGGGGAGGCATGAATAATCCCTTCTTGTTTAGCATATCATCAAGAAATAACCATCAAAATGGGCAACCAGCAGCCCTCAGGGCTGCTCTGTCTATGGAGTAGCCATTCTTTTATTCCTCTACTTTCTTAATAAACTTGCTTTCACCTTACTCTGTGGACTTACCCTGAATTCTTTCTTGCACGAGTTTCAAGAACCTTCTTTTGGGGTCTGGATTGGGACCCCTTTCCTGTAACAATTGCATTGGGGTTGGGTGCCTCGTAGCCTTTGCACAGTCCTTAGTACTTAGCAGGCTGTCAGGAAGCTCCCATGAAACACAGCCCTCCTCAGGTGCCCACTTGGCCATCACGGCTTACATGTTCCTACCTCCCCCAGGCTATTCCTTATATCTGGGGTACCTTGCCCTCATTTTCCTTGCTCAAATCCTACTTACCCTTTGAGGCCTAAGTAAACACTGCCCCCACCATGAAGACAAAACAGATGAAATTAAGTTTTAAAAACATATTTCATTTGACCCAATATATCCAAACTGTTATTTCAACACGTAATCAATATGCAATAGATTACTATTTTACATTCCTCTATTTCATCGGAAGTCTTTGAAATCCGGCATATATTTTACACTTATGGCACATCTCATTTTGGACCCGGCCACACATCAAGGGCTGGGTAGCCAGTCACATGTAGTAGTGGCTATAAATTGGAGAGCACAGTTCTAGATGTCTCAAGTCAAACTGTGATTCTCCTGCCCTGGAGCTTTTGCTGCCTGCCATATCCTGCCCAGTCTCCTCCTCCAGCCTGTGAGATCCTTGAGTTCATTCACTAACCCGGGCTGAGCACGCAGATGAGCTCTGCCCAGCCCCCAGCAGACAGTGCCTAGGTCTTCTCCATTGGGTCCCCTTTCAACACCTCTGCGAAGTATTCCATGGAATGAGGGAAAGAATACAGTGGGCCTGAGGGCAGGGAAGGGGACAGACCAGGAGCAGCCTCAGGACTCACCAGGCACTGGCAGATTCGGCAGGGGTCCCCCGGTGTGGTCCACTCTTGGCCATGTTCCCAGTGAGAGCCACCTTCTGTGCAGCCTAGGGTTGAGGGGGTGAGCAGAGGGAGGTCTGGTAGGAGCTGGCCTAGACCCTAGCCTCAGCCTGCCCGCCCTCCTTGTCTACATGCCGTCTGAGGGCTCTCTCCTGAGCCAAGACTAGATGGGGTCAGATCTCTGCCTAGATTCCCCAGTGGCTCCCAGTGCCCCAGGCAGGGTGAGGCCTCAGCTCCTTAGCCCGCCCTTTCTGGTCTTCCCTGGACAGAGCATGGCCACACCCATGTGCCCCACCTATCTCTGGCCCCTCGTCACCTCTCGCACCTTCCCAGCCAACATCACACACCCACCCTGAGTGTCAGGGTCACACCTGTGCTTGATTTCTCCCCACTTCCTGGGAGGTTCACTGCCTTCGTCAGCCCTTCACCAAGCTAACTGCTCTCTATCCTTAAGGGCCACCTGGGACCAGCTGCCTCCAGGCCGCTTTCCCTCCTGTGCCCAGGCTGGATAGGGTCTCCTTCCTCTGAATCCACACAGTGGCTGGTACCTGCTTCTACTCCTGCCCTTGACTGGTACAGGATTTTGCATTAGTGTTTGACTCAGTGTCACACACTCTAGTGGTCATCCCTGAGGGCTGACCCCATGTCTAATGATTGGGGGGCACAAAGTAGAAAGCAAGCATTTATTAAGCAGCACAATGAGGTATGGAATATCATTATCTGCACCTTACACATGGGGAACTTGCGGTAGAGAGTCACACAAGCACTAGGTGGCAATGGCAGAATTTGAGCTCAGGCATTCCAGCTCCCCCATGGACCAAACCCACCGGAGGCCAGCAAGGTGGGTTCTGGAATTCAAGAAATGGCACGATAGCCTACCTGTGGCTCTACCAGGGATGGGCCAGGGGCTCTCACCTTGGCAGGTCGGGCAGCAGTGCCCAGGCCTCAGGACTGGCTGTGGGCAGGGGCTGGGCGGGCACTTCAGGGACATGCAGCGAGCTCGGCTCCTCTGTAATGCACCAGTGGCTGTGAGGCTTCTGATCTGGCCCCCGCAGGGGGCGGGGGGGGGGGGTGTTGGGCACCCTCAGAGAAGGGGGACACAGGGCAGAGATGGAGAGAGAGCCTAGCTGGCTCCAGCTCTTGCGAGGCATGTGAGGGGGCTGGAGGAGTGGCAGGGCAGGTATCCAGGGAGGAGCAGGGCCTAGGCCGAGGGGACAGGTGGACTCACCAGGCAGGTGCACTGCAGACAAGGGTTGGAACTGGATAGGAAGGTGCTCCCCTCCTCATAAAGCTGCCCCTCATACTCACAGCCTGCGAAGGTTGGCAGGATAAGTGGGTTACCAGGGAGCAGGGTGGGTGGACATCACTTGAGGGAAGGCGTGACCCCAAGTAGGTACTGGACCCTTGGGGTTGAAGGGATGGCAGGGCAGGGCAGGGCAGGACAGGGCAGGTCACCGGGCCGGCAGATGGGGCAGCACTCCCCAAGTGGGGTGCAGCTCTCCAAGCAGTTGAGCTCTGAACATGAGAACTGCTGGCACTGCACAGCCCCTGCCTGCAGGGCAGATACTGAGCCAGCCCTCCCTCCCCACACCATCCTCCCTCTTTCTCTCTATTCCACGCTCCCTCCTCATCCCTTCCTGCTCCGTCCCTTTCCATTGCCAGAGCTGGCTTACTCTGTAGGCTTGGCAGGCTTCAGCCCTGATGCCTGGGCAGCAGCAGTAGCAGCCCTGCCTAGCCCCCATATTTGGGCTTGGCATGGCCAGGCCGGCAGTCTGCCCAGCAGCAGGGATATGGGTGGTGGCTGATTCCTTTACCTGGCAGGTGTGGATGACACAGGGCTCTGGATGCCATGCTTCCCCAGCCCCGTGGCCCCAGGGCAGCCTGGATAACCAGACCCTGGCCCACAAGTAAGAGACCCAAAGGACTGGGTGCCACATTAAAGGGACACCATTCACATGACAGACATCAGCGATTTTAATATTTACTACACCTTTCCAGCAGATGGCAGTAAAGTGTCAGACAGGCACATCATCGGCACGGTTCCATTATTTTACAACAGATGGAAGTAGTGTCTTGAGGAAACGATGCCTTTTAAAATTTCACCAAAGACATTATATAGGCTAGCAGTGGCCCTGAGGCACCACGTGCCCTGAAGAGACAGAGTGTGTGTGTGTCTTTTCTTTGTGTGTCTTTTCTTTGAGATTCAAAAATCCTCAAGATTTTAGTCCTCTTCTCCAGCCAACACCCCAGGCTGCATTTCCAGACCCAATGGGTCTGAGTCCCTGTCCCACCTTTCTTACTACCAGCTGAGACTCCTCTCTTGGTGGGGCTGCCAGACAAAATACAGGATGCCCAGTAAAATTTGAATTTCAGATTAATAAAATGTCATTTTTAGTATAAGAATATCCCAAATATTGAATAGGATATACCTATACTAAAAACTGATATGCTGTTTATTGAAATTCAGATTTAACAAAACATTCTAGACTTTCATTTGCTAAATCTGGCAACCCTATCCCCCTATGAGCCAGTAACACCCCCCTGCATAGCCATGATCTCCTCTTCCTCCCAGCTCTCTTCGTGTCCCCGGCACCACTGCTATCCTAGTGTCCCAAACTCGGCCTCCACTATTCCAGGGGACCCAGCCAGTCACAGACTCCTGCCCGTCCTTTAGAAACACCCCCATTTCTCCAGCCCACGGGATCCCTGGCTTCATGCCTAAATAATTGCTGTCACAGCCCTGATGCCTCCGTCTGCATCCAGCCCCCACCAGGTGAATATTCCTCAAGCGCCCCCTTGACCATGCCACACGCTGCTTCAGCCTTCAGTGTCCCCCACTGCCCATAGAAGAAAGTCCTAATTGCAAGGCTTCCAGCAGCCTGTTCCCATGGCCTTCCCACATGGCCTCCTGCAACCCACCTCTCTCCACCCTGTCCTTGTGCAGGGAGGACCCTCACATACTCCCTCTCCTTCAGGTGGAAACCCACTTTCCCATGAAGACCCAGCTCAAAGGACCCATTGTCTGGAAAGGTCCCCTGACTGCCCAGCCTGGATGGGCTTCTGCTGCCTCCTGTGCCCTCCTCTGGCAAAGCACACACTGCAGCCTTCTACACCTCCTCTTAATCTGCTCATTGGGTCTTACATCTTGTGGTAGCTTGGCTATGAGCTTATCTTTTCAACTAGATTGGAGGCTCCCTGAGGGCAGGGAAAAGATTTTGTGCCTGTTTTCCAATGGTCTCTGGCTCAGTCCCAGGCCAGAGCCAGTATTTGCTGACTTGTGCATGGGTTCTGCACTCCCCTGGCTACTGTCAGAGTGAGAGGACAGGCACCCCTGGGCATGTCCCAGACCCGTTGACCCTCAGGTGGCAGGTTGTGGCTGTGGGCCACAGAAGGCATGCAGGAGGTGGAGCTAAGGCTGGCAGGAGGCTGACCTGGCTCACAGTGTGGGCAGCACGCTCCTGGTTCAGGGCAGGGTCCTCTTGGACATGGCTTCGGGGTGCAGGTGATGGTCCCTTCCTGTGGGAGCAGACTGAGGTGGCTGCACAGGCCTCAGAACCCCAGAGCGCAGGGCCTCTGGAAGCAAAACCTCAGCCCAGGCTGGGACATGTCAGAGGGGCAACAGGATGAGTTGGCTTTGAGGATGTGGGCTACTCTCTGTAAAGGCAGAAAAGAGACATCCCGCCCCCACTCCCATCGTCTCCTGATGCTCTTAACCCTGGGAAACCATCTGTTCCAGGTGCCAGCAAATTCCCCAGAGAGGGGAGGTCCTAGGAAGAAGACCGAAGACTTTCTCAGTGGAGGAAAGAGGAAGGAAAGACTGGGGGAAGGTGGATGTAGAGCCTGGTGAGGGACAACAGGCAGGAGAGGGGGTTCCGAGGTAGAAGATGGGCAGTGGAAGAGTGGGAGGTGACACAGGAGGACAAGCAACTATTAACTTGGTGCAAAAGTAATTGCGGTTTTTTGGCCATTTAAAGTCATGTCAAAAACTGCAATTACTTTTACACCAACCTAATACATTCTCTGCCCTCCACGCCGCTGTTGGCCGGGTCTGAATTGAGTGGCTGGAGGGCCCCCCAGTGTCCATGGGTGTTGAGCTCCTTTTCCTACTTGAAATCAACTGAAAGCCACCGTGGCAATGTGTGGGAGTGGCAGGCAGAGCCCATTATGTGACATCTGGAGTGCCACATTGTAGTGACAGGTAGCTGAAGAGAGGCAGAAAGGTGAGGGACATCCCAGGTGGGTCCTGGGAGCTCACCAGACAGCGGCAGGTGGTGCAGGCGTCTGGGGAGAAGGCCTCCCCGTTGCCGTAGGTCTGGCCATTCTGGCTGCAGCCTGAGGAGACAGCAGTGTCACTCAAGCACCCCATGCCATCTGCAGGCCGTTAGGTGGCCCCGGTGGGCGGATAGGGTGGCACTTACCCCCGCAATGGGGCAGGTGGGCTTGGGGGCCACAGTGAGCGGTCCCATCCTGGCAGACGCAGGCTGTGCAGGGGTCAGGCTCCCAGCGCGCCCCCTCGGGCCAGGCACGCCCCAGCCCCCAGCACTGGGGAGATGCAGGGTGGCACTCACAGGACTCCAGCCGCCTCACCCTCATCTGCAGGTCCTTATTCTGGAGGAAGGAGATGGAATAGCAGGCACTGGCTCAGTGTCCCCACCATCTCCAGCAGAGATGAGGGGTGTGAAAATGAGGCAGGATGAGAAAGAAGTTTGCCAGTTCCAGAGCAGAGATGGGTCCCCCTCAGTCAGCATCCAACTCAAACGATCACCGTTCTCAGGGGAGCATGAGCCCCATTCTCTTCTTTGGGCAAAATGGGGACCCAACCCTTGCCCCAAGAATTAAAGACATCTTTACCCATCCAAAATATTTCTTGATGATGCCTTATATAGAACACATTCCATAACATTTCCCAAATACATGGAACAGCATGAAACATGAACTGACAAAACAAATAGCCTGGAGGTTCTTCATTTGTATGGAAGAATAAATGTTAAGAATTGTTCAGGCCGGGCATGGTGGCTCACGCCTATAATCCCAGCATTTGGGGAGGTTGAGGCAGGCAGATCACCTGAGGCCAGGAGTTCGAGATCAGCCTGGCCAACATGGTGAAATCCTATCTCTATTAAAAATACAAAAATTAGCCGGCATGGTGGTACACACTTGTAGTCCCAACTACTCAGGAGGCTGAAGCACAAAAATCACTAGAACCCAGAAGGCAGAAGTTGCAGGCAGCTGAGATCGTGCCACTGCACTCCAGCCTGGGTGACAGAGAGCGACTCCATCTCACAAAAAAGAAAGAAGAAAGAAAGAAAGAAAGAAAGAAAGAAAGAAAGAAAGAAAGAAAGAAAGAAAGAAAGAAAGAAAGAAAGAAAGAAAGAAAGGAAGGAAGGAAGGAAGGAAGGAAGGAAGGAAGGAAGGAAGGAAGGAAGGAAGGAGAGAGAGAGAGAGAGGAAGGAAGGAAGGAAGAAAGGAAGGAAGGAGAAAAGAAAAGAAGGAAGGAAATTGTTCAGATAAGAGCCTTTCCTTTCCATGTGCAATGAAAAAAAGCTCTATTTTAGGAACCCCCCTCCAAGGCTAACTTCTTCCCTCCTTCCCATTATGAGAAGCCCTCCCCATTCAATGCAAACCAGCCCTGTCTCCATGGTACCTGTTCTCTGAGTTCCACCACTGCAGCCTCTAGCCGCCCCAGCCACTCTCGCACGGGGAGCCACTGCTCCTGGGGGTCCCCAGCAGGGGCTGAGGAGTGGACAGGTATCTGCTGCCCAGGGGGCTCCTTGGGGACAGTCCCACCTGAAGGGCACAAGAATCCTATGTGGGCCTGAGGGTGAGGGGCTGGCCTGGCCACATTTCCTGGGTTCTGTCTTCTGACCCACAGGGGAAGGGGGTCATCCTGTGCACCCCACCCTGTCCACTTGCCCACCCACCATCCAGGGAAGGAGATGTGGTCTGTGAGGGTTGGGGAGTGAAAGCTGGAGGCGAGGGCATGGAAGAAGGGGAAGGAAGTTCTGAGTGGACAAATGTGGCCCAGACCAGCTTCTCCCGCTTGTCTGGGTGAGCCACAGGCCCCCCGACCCACCAGGGGGACACAGAGCAGTCTCTGGAGCAGGGCTGCCCTGCAGCCTGCCCCGGCTGATGTCCCCAGCCATGGTGAGCATGTCAGGATCATCCCACCTCTCTTGGGCCAGGGGCTTGGCCAGGGATGGTTGGGAAGCTGACATGTCATGCTGGGAGGGCCTGGAAACCAGCACAGGCTGAAACGCAGGGGAAGGCCACAGACATGTGCCAGGTGGAGCTGTTTTCAGGGGCCTGGGGTCTGGCTGGGAGTCTTTTCAGGGAGAACACGAGCAGCTCCCATCCCCTGACTCTCTGTCTACACCTGTCAGAAAAGCCATCACTTTTGGAGAAAGTGCTGAGGGAAGGACAACTGCTCCCCCTGGTCCTGCTCTCAACCCTGAGCACAGTTTTCCAGGCTTGTGACAGGGGGTCCTGGGGGCCCCCACAATGGGTGTGGTGGGCTCCAAAAGTGGGACTTGGCTGCATTTCCTGAAGGGTTTGAGAAAGGTGCTGGCAAGGCCTCCACTAGCTTTGAACACAACAGATCCAGTGAAGGCAGCCTGTCCCTGATTCTAGAAGACACTATGTCCAGGAAAGGGGGACAGGGCACCTCTGAGCGCTGACCTGGGGTTGGGGATGGTCACTTTCACCTTTTCACTTTGATCCTTCTCCTGCAGCCAGGAAAGTAAAGGCAGGAGGGGAGGAGGCAGACATGGGTCCCTCCTCCAGGCAGGGATCGGCAGGGGAGTGGAGGGTCTGGAGCGGGATGCAACAGGAACAGAGAGAGGAGGAGGGAGAGGGCTGGGTCTTTCCCACCATGGCAGCTCATTAGTGAGGCCAGGCCTGGAGTGGCTTAAAAGGGTTTCTCACAGACACTAGGCCTGTGAGATAGGAGAACAACGTCACTCACTGTCACCATCAAAGGTGGAGGGGATTCTAGGTTAAAATTGAACTTGCTTTGCCCCAAGTTCCCTGGCTTGGTTAATGCCATCCCACTTACTCAGTTACTTAAGCCAGAAAGCTGGGACTCAGCTCCCCTATTTTATTGTCTGAGTTGTCCCCTAATCCATCCCCCGCTTCTCCTCTCTCCACCTTCTCCATTCAGAAGGCAAAGCCCTGTCCGTGCCTCCATCTGCGTTCCTTTTCTCCACTCGACCTTTCTCAATCACACAGCTGAAGTCTCCCAGGAGTAAGTCCCGCTGGAACGGATCACAAGCACCGCCCACCTTTCCAGCCCCGCTACCGCCCGCTCATATCAGGGATTCTAACTCCGACCCCGCACCCTGGGCGGATGTTGGCCCCCAAACCCCAGGTACCCTTTCCCATCTCCATCCCTGTACTGGGCATCCAGTCACCCGGAATGGCACTCGGTCTCAGTCCTTCCCAAGCACACAGAGGGCGGCCACAAAGGGCGTGTCAGCATCTGAAACCTTCTACCCAATCTGGACTCCCGTGGGACCTCACCCTGCTGCCCAGGGCCCCTCCTCCCAGGCCCCTCTTCCAGTTCTGCTTAAGCAGGCAGGCAGAAGGAGTCCGGGAGAAGCTGGATCCTCTGGTACCCCTAGGTGAAGCTAGGGCCAGCCTTGCCTGGAGAGACCTGCAGAAAGAGCTCCGAGTGGCAAAACCTGACTGGTCCCCAAGGAACTGTACCGGGCTCCCCTCTCAGCCTCCCCTGGCCCCCTGCCGGCACCGAGCCCTCCATTCCCGCTTGTCCCGCTCCAGGGAGGGCCAGACACAGACTCAAAGTCAGCTTCCACAGCGGGCCTGCTTTCTCCCCCTCCTTCGTCAAGACAAATAATTAACTTCAGACTCCCAGATGCCAGGGCAGCCGCGCTCTCTCCCGCCGCCGGCTGCAGGAACCCCCCGCTCCTGAACCCCCTGCTTTGGCCGCGGTCTTCCCAACCCTGCTCGCTCCCCCGACGGGGAGGACCGGGCTGGCCAGGGAGGCGTGTGAACTTCAGGCAGGGCTAAGAGAAGCAGCCCGGCCCCGCTCGGCCCCCTCAGGCCGGGCTGATAGGAGGCAGGGGGCGCACCTGGCCGGACCCCAAGTCTCCCGCGGCTGGACTCACCTCCCGCGCCCGCGCCCACGGCCAGCGCCAGGCCCCCGAGCTGCAGGAGAAGGGACAGCGCAGCGGCCCCGGCCCCGGCCATGCTAGCTCCGCCTCGCTTGCCGTCGTCTGTCGTCGCGGCTCAGCAGGCGCTGAGGGAGGCGGGGTGGGGACACACAGGCCGCTCCCACCCAGGCTTTGTTCAGGGAGGGCTCAAACCCCCACCGCGCGCGCCTTTCCCATGGATACCTCCACCCTCCACGGCCCGGCCGGTCCTGACCCCAGAGAACAGCTCCAGCTCGCAGGAAGCCCAACAGGGGTGCAGGCCCTGTCTCCGCTTAAGATCCAGGAGGAGATCCCGAAAAGAAAATAAACCCAAGTCCACCCCTCTGGGGCTCCTGGACAGTCTCCCTGCCCCTTTAAGTTACTCCATCGCCTGGAGTTTCCAGATGGATTTTTCCTCTCTCACAAGTTTACAGAAGCAGCAGACTGAGCTGGGTTTAAATCCCTGCTCAGCCAATTCCACGTGGCTTTAGACCACCAACTTCTCTGCGCCTCAATTTCCCTATCTGTAAACTGGGGATCACCACATCTACTTTATAGACTTGCAGTAAGCATTAAGTGAGATTATATAAGAATTTAGAGTCGGTAGACACATGGTAAATGCTCAGTAAATAACAAATAATAACAATAAGTAGTCCTCATCTCTGAAATCATGGACATGACCAGTGTATTCCTCTCTCCACCTATAAGTTTCTTTCCTGGACTCCACTCAACACCCCTTCCCACTCCAATAGTCTCAGGCTTGGCCCCAAATGCCAAGGCCACTCTTCACTGGCTGGTCTCAGCCCCATTTCCCACGCCTGAGCTCAGGCCTGGCTGTGGGGTGAGCCTGGGTAGGGGGCAGGGCTGGGCCCTGGGCTCAGCAGGCGGAGGGGGCCAAAGGGAGGAAGTGAGGACAGCCATCCCTGTGGGCCCACAGGGCTGGGAAACTCCTCCTTGCAGCTGGGAAGCAGAGGGTTGGATCTCGCAGGCGAAGCTCACAGGCAAAAAGGGACATTGAGGGTGGAGCTGTGAACCCTTCCAAAGCTCTCCCTCCCTGCCATAAAGACCAGAAGTCAGAAGCCACCCCTCCCCCTAGCCCAGGAGGGGACTGAGGTCTCCCCAACCCACTCTCCACAGAGCTTAAAGCTTCAGTAAGGAGAGGGCAGCTTCTCTGCCCCAGGGTCTGGGCCCCTAGTGGGCCTGAGCCTTTGCCACAGGCGGTGGAGAGGCTGTAAGGCCACTCTAAGACCTGGCCTCAGTGCCTGGATCTGGGGTCACAGAGGAAAGCCAGGGCCAGCCAGCCAGAATAGGAACAAGGAAGCGGCAGCGCTATTCCTGGCAGGTTTAAGGAAAGTGGCTTTGTGACTGGGTGCCTCTGGAAGGCAAGTCCTGCAGAGGGCTAGTTAGTGGGACGGTTCAGAGCACAAACTCCGGCAGGGTTGCCATGGCACATCCTGGAGCTCACGCTTTCTGCTCTGGGGCCTCTGGCAGGTCACTTCACTTTTGGTGACTGATTTTTCTGAGCTGTGACTGGAGTTCTAACAGCACCCACTTCATGGAGTGTTTGTAAGTGTTAGTACCACATGGTGCCTGGCACAGAGGTATGAGCACTTATTACTTCCCTTATGAAGAATGGGGGCACCTCCATCCCCATTTTACAGAAAGGAATCAGGGAGAATCAGGGTGAGCAGCTCTAAACCACACTGGGAAGACGTACAGGGCTTCCCTGGCCCCACAGCCCCCTTCCAGTCCCTCATGTCCCAGCCTCTGCCCCTGAGCCTGGCCCCAGTCTGCCCTCATGTCACATTCCCAGGGAGGGACACTGTCCTGACACAGACAAGGTCCTCCAACCCCCGGGGCGCAGTGGGGTGGGGAGGCTGTGACTTTACTTCACCCCCAAGGCAGGTGTTTGTAGTGTCTGATTCTGTGCGTGTGTCTGGGTGTGGCACGTGTGTGTGTGTGTGTGTGTTAATGTGTGTTTGGCTGGAGGTGGGGGCTGAGGCTGGGGAGGCACTTTTTTGGCATTCAAGGGACCTTGACTTTGAAGGGGCTTCCAGGGACACTTTCGTCACCCCACTTGACGATGAGGATGTAGTCCCCTTTCTCCTTGACAGTGTAGGTGACATTGTACACCCGGTTCCCCATGTGTTTCATATACACCTCCTCACAGGTGGTCTTGGGGCGTGCATGCCCACCATCATCATGTTGGTGCCTGGAGAGGGAGGCAGAGGGTGGGCTCACACCAGGGAGTCCCCTACTGTGACCGACACCCTGCTCCCTGATGGCCTCTTGCTCGCACCCCCCACCACCTGCCTGCTTTGCTGCAGTCCAAGGTGAAGGAGTTATTCTGGCCCACGAAGGCCTGGGACAGCCCAGGGCCCCGAGTCACCACCTTGCTGGCATCCGAGGAGAACTTGGGGATGGAGCTGTAGCTGGAGCCCCGGCTTGAGGAAGACTTGGTCACAGTCTCCACCAGAACGGTGGATGTTTCGTGAAGGCTGTGGCCTCCGGACAGCCTCGGACCTGAGGGGCGGTTGGAGGGGGCACAAACCTGGTCAGAAGGGCTTCCTGTTCTTCCCCAGGCAGGGGACCCTCAGACAGCACTGCCACCCTGTGGGACTCACTGCCTGCATTCGCGGCTCCCCCCAAATTCCTCCAAGGGCCATTCTAGGAGCACAGCCCCATTCCCAGCCAGGGCCCTGAGCTGCCAGCTCCAACTGGTGCTCCACCCCAGGGCTGGGGCCTCAGATGCTGTGACCCTCACCCTTGCAGGCTTTGGGAGCTCAGGCTAACTCACAGGGTAAGAGTCACTTTGCAAAGGAACACCCACCCAACGCATCCTACAGACAGCCTCAAGAGGGGAGCTTGCTCAATACTGACTGTGTCTTCTTGGAGCCGAGGAATATGGGAAGCCAGGAGGGAAGAAAGTGATGCTAGGGTCTGCGGAGCCAGCGCAGGCCAGAGCTGAAGGAGTGAGGGGCCGCGATGGAGAGGAAGAATGGGACTTTTACACCATCATGCCTGACTCCACAGAATGTGTGCTGTGTAGAGCCAGGCCCACCTCTAGCCCTGGTAAACTGACCATGATGTCTGGGGTCAGACTATGGTCTGGATGTGCATGGCCACCGGAGCCCTCCAGGCTGGGCTGGGCTGCAGGTTGGATGGGCCTCCCTGAAGCCAGCACTTACTGGTGACCTTGGCCTTGAAGGGGCTGCCCACGATGTGCTGGGGGCCACCGTACTTGATGGCAATGAGGTAGTTGCCAGGGGCCATGGAGTGTAAGTGACCACGTGGCCCTCAGGACACTCCCGACAGTCCAGCTGCACCTTGGAGGGGCCATCAATGGTGACAGACAAGGCCTCCAAGCCGGCGTTCAGGGTGTTCACGATGAACTCTGATGACACACCTAGAGGCCAGAGATAGCAAGGCTGAGGGCAGAAAGGGCTTGTGGCCCAAAAGGGGCTGGGCTCCAGTTCCCTCGGCAGCCTCTGTGGGAAGCTGCCACCTCCCCATGCCCAGCCTGGCCCCTGCCTGCCAGCCCAGCCTGGGGACAGGAGGAACCAGGGTCCAGTGTGCAATCCTCGGTGCATACCTGCTCTGAGGGGCACTAGCCTAGCTGTGCTGGGTACCAGGCAAATGAGAGATGATGTGCCCTGTCCTGGCTGAGGAAGGCAGAGCCCCACACTGTGTGAAGCAGGCTGAGAGCAGAAGGCAAGTGCCTGATGGGCTGTGTCAGCTGTGGGTGCATGAGCACTCAAATGTGGGAAGCTGAGTGTGGCTGGACTAACCTGGGAGGGCTTTGGGGAGGAGGTGGGTCAACAGGGAGGACTGGAGGGGCTCCAGGGAAAAAGGAGATAAACTTGTTGGGAGAGCCCCAGATCTGGAATATGAGGAGGGGATGCACAAGTGCTCCTGATGGGCTGGTAAAATCTCACAGCCAACCCCAGGGCCCCAGTGGAGTCCCAGGAGACAGTCCTGTCACTCCAGGAGCTGCAAGGCTTGGGTAGCAGGGGGCCACTAGGGGAGGAAGCGCCACAGCAGTCCTAGTAAGAGTAGCCAGACAGCAGGCGCCCTGCTGTGTCCAGGGTTGGTCTGGGTCACGTGTCTCCTTGCAAACCCACACCCAGCTCAGGCAGAGGACAAAGGTTTCACTGCATTGGGCCTGATCCTAAATCCCACCCCTCCGGGTGAGCTGCCCACACCCCCGGCCCTGCCGCCCGCCTGGTCCAGACAGGCTGAGGCTCTGGGGCAACAGGTGCCCAGGAAGAAGTTTCTTTCAGCTTCCTCCCAGGGGCAGGGTGGGGGAAGACCAGGGTACAGGGGGAAAACCCCCAAGCAGGGCCTTTAGGTAAAAAGGGGTGATTACCCAGTGCCTCCCTAGACTCTTGGAGCCTCTCAGCCCCAGCCCCAGGCCCCACAGCTACGGGGTAGGGGGAGGGCGGAGGCAGGGGGAGGGGAGGTCTTGCCAGTTTTTTTAATGGACACAGCCGGTGCACTTTCGGGCCCTGGTGACTGGGTCCGCGGAGGCCCAGGCCCACCCCAGTCCTCTGCCCCTGCTCCGCACTTCCCCTCCGCTCCTCCTCCCCCCTTCCCTCTGCCCCCACACCTCTCGCTGGCTCCCCTGGGGTACACCCCTTGGGCCAGCCCCGCGGAGCCACCCCCACCCCCAGGGATGGCCTCTGGACCGTTCCTCTTGCTACTGGAGGAGCAGCACCCTGGTCCTCACCCTGCTGTGCCCAGCGTGGCTGCGAGGCTGGGAAAGTACCCCACTCCCGCCTCTGCTCCCGGGTACCCGCTCCGCCCCTCCCAGGTCCGGAGACAACTGCGCGAGGCCAGCGCTGGTCCTCGCCATCTCCCCCAGGATCCCGGCCACACTAGTCTCACTTTTCCTCCACGTTTAGCCTCTTCATTGTTGTCTTCTTAAGTTCTGGGACAGGACCTACAGAAACCAGCCCAGGAACTATTGCGCCCCATCCTTCTCCGCTGCTTGGGGGGCCGACGTCTACCATTCCCGGCCGCGAGCCCAGGGACAGATGGAGCCTCTACCTGACACCGTCTTCCCGCAAACTCTTGCACAGTTCCTGCCATTGGCC